GCAGACGCTTCCGAACATGGTTGATACTGGCTTAGATCTATCTTTGTTCAACAGCAACTCGAGTGGCGTCCGACGATTTTCAAGTCCTGCTGATTGCCCTACCGAACCTCCAACACCAAAGTGGTTGTGCGTTTGGGTGACATACTGAACCAATCGACTAAAGTTTTGTGGGGTTCCTGCGATGTCAACCCCATGCAGACGAAGATCACTCCTAAGACATCCCGTCATTTCCTTCACCCTCCGCACGTTCCTCTCTGCAAGTCCGATGCTTTCGTGAGCTTGAGGTGCGGCAGACTTAGTGGTAGACCAAGTCGTCTCAACAGCTGTCCGATCAAGGCTTCGCTGTCGGTCAACACTTCAACTGTTTGGGATGACTGGTCCGAAATACCAAGCTGTCGGAAGTACTGGCGGCAATCGGCTAACATTTGGTCTTGGTTGGGACCGCGCAAACTGATTCCAAGCAATCCGGTTCCGGCATCGACGTGCTGCTTGACTTACTTACTCGTCCATGATGCAAAGTGGATCTACTCTTGATGCAATGAACACAACGGCTGTCGAATGGGATGTGTCCACGTCGGCGGTGCAACGACAGTTCACGATCCACCTTCTTTGAGAACTCTGGATTCCGGGTGACTTCGCTCGGAGGACAAGGCTCTTTACCATCGCGTGGACGCTCAATGGCATCTTCAAGATCACCTGGTGCTGGCAATGGATGGTCGGCAGCGTTGAGAAAACCATGACCTTGACTGGTAATACGGTGATTGGGCTCAATTGTATTGGCTTTCGGCTCAACCTCGAACGTTTTGATCTCAGGGTGGTCTTCAAACTTCAAAACTTTCACATGACCTGAGGACATACCTTGACTCATGGACCCCTTTGGCTGAGTGGCAGAAACGAAAAATGACACCTTCGGGCTCTTGCCATGCGAACTAGATGGTGTTTGACCATCTGAGCTTTCATCTTTTGCTGTTTCAGATAATGGTTTATTGTTGAACCATGCCGAAAGTGCTCGTTTCCTGCTTTCATAGTCGTCCAAATCTTCACTGGTCCAGGTGTCCATGGTCAGTTTCCCCTTCATTTCCACATCCTGATCTCGTCCACGAGGCTTGCGCTGCTGTGCTCGGATCCAAGGTACATTTGCCCAGATTTCGCAATCCAGGCGCCTGATGTCACTGACGCGGATATGGCACTGATCTGGTCCAAATACGAATGTCGCACCGAGCTGGGTCAAACTGCAAACGCTCAGGAGGTTGTGTTCGACTGGACCGACGACGGCTCGAATCTCATACTTGACCAACTTGTTGCGATCACATTCATCATGTTCAATGGTCGTTGGAAAACTAACTTCGAGCATACATTCGTGATCAATCTGAACCTGTTCCCCTGAGGCAGTTCGAAACTGGATGGGAGTTGCCAATGTGCGTTCACGAAGGACTTTGTATGCTGACAGGGAATCGAGGGACACGACGGTTCGGCTAGCGCCGGAATCAACCAACCACAGGTAGGGATCTGCGGACTGCATGTTCTGACAAATGAAGAATGGTTGAGCTACATCCTGTTCATTGAAGGTAGACAAACGACCTCCATCTTCAACATCCGGCTCGGACCATTCACTCCCTACCTCCGACTCTGGTTGCTGCTGGAATTCAGTTGCTCTTTGTCCCTTTGGTTTTCCTCCCTTTGACTTTCCTTTGTCGGATGGGCTTCCCTTCTTTCCTTTCTCAAATCCTTTCTTGCCCTTTCCATCACTCTTGTTTGACCCTTTGGAATTGGAATCACCTTTTGACTTGAATGGACTCTTGTTGGGACAATCGGCAGCAAGGTGTCCTCGTTGATTGCATTGGAAACATTTCCAATTCCTTTTCCTTTTTCGAGACTTTCTTGGGTCTTTCCATCTTTACCCCCTTTCTTCTCCTTGCCTTTCCCTTTCTTGCCTTTCGGGACAGACTGTCCCTTTTGATCACCAAGAGCTGCAATCGGCTGGCCATTGAGCTCAGACCAAATCCTTTGCTGCGATTCGTATCGAAGTGCGGCTTCTAGATACGTGTTGAAGCTTTCATCTTTGGCATGGAGAACAACCCACTGACGGCATTGACTGGGTAAAGATCTAAGCAACAACAAAACTTTGTCGGCTTCTTGAAACTCTAATCCTCGAACGTTCACTGCTGGATCGACGAGCTGCGACACACGTTCGAATTGGTACAACTCGGATTGCACCTTTCTCACGGCTTCGGGAATTGTCTTTCCGGTGATGGATGCATTGGCAAGCTGCGAACGGAAGAAAAGAAGTTCAGTTCGGGTTTTCACTGCATACTCCTTTGCTAAAAGCCTCAGGCATTCGAAACCACAACATCGCTGAAAACCTTTTCCTTCTTCATAATTACGAATGACCGAGGATGCTTTGACGCTGTTCTCGAAGCAAAGTTTGAGTATTGACATCAGCCGGACGGATCGTGTCACCTGACTTGCAGTCAGGCGGTGCCAACCTAAGGGCTCGCTTTCACGAAGTGCTGACAGAATCTCAGCAGGATATGCATTCGATCCGAGTCCGGTCCATGATGCTAACGAGGTGACCCATTCGATGAACCCCACAATTTCAGCAGGCCTGGATTTCCAATCTTGGAAGGATGCAGTTGGCACAGGTGGCATCCACCTTTCTGATCTCTTGAACGGGTTCTCATCATTCTGTCCACCAATCTCTTGGGCTGATCCCTGAGGAGTGTTAACAGGGATTGGGATCATTTGTGGATTCACGTTCTGAAACCCGGGCGGTGGAGGGATAACCTGGCTGAAACCCTGATTGGATGACTGACTGGCAATCTGGACTATTGGCCATGCTATACGGAAAGGGGCGATCCGGAATTCCTGCGGCTTGGGCTGAACTATTATGATATTGTTGCCATGGGTCTTGGTTCACCCAGAAGTGATCCCGTCGAGATGCCGAGGGATGTCCGGCGGGTCGGTGTGTTTGCATTCGGATTATCCACATTCGGTTGAATCACCTGACTAGGCTGGGCGAATGGAGTCTCGGCTCCGGTTGAGATCGGCTGCGCGGGCGGATTTGCAACATTCTCCGGAGGAAGTGTCTGTGTTGCCGGTGGGATTTGACTCGAAACACCGGCTTGAGGATTCGTCTGAAGGCTTAGCGCTTGTTGAAGGACGGGTCCCAAACTGCTCAGGGTGCCGGCTAGATGAGCTACTTGATCTTCAAGAAATGCTAGGCGTCTCTGACTAGAACTCCCTCCTCCAGGGCGATTGTCCTGCCCTGCATGTCGAGACACTGATCGGCCTCGAGGTTCTCTGGATCGTTCTCGGGGAGGACCAGCATTTCCAGTTCCAGATTCATCCATGGCTCTCAATCTCTACGGATGTGAGGTTGTGAACAAACCTAGAAAACTTGCTGTCCTACGCTCCTTTACAGGAGCTCCGCTACCATATGAGAACTCACACCTTTTAGAGTTCAACCTCAACTGCAAAGCGAACACAAAGAAAAGAGAACAAATGAAGTACACTTCTCGATTTGTGCTCGACTGCGATTAGTCGACACGCGGGCCGCCGTTCCCAAGCGAAGCAACTCTTTTTGCGTCGCCCTTGAGCCACGGTTCGTGGCAGCAAGTACCTTGTGGTACACTTCTCGATTTGTGCGCCGTAGCGCACCATGGTCAAAAGCGGTGTGTGCAACCGCGACCGAACCTTCCAAGTGATCGAACGAAACGATATGTGGTTGCTCGAACGATTGCATAGGGTGCCTATATTTCACACCACCACCACCACCACCACCACCACTACTACTACTACTACTCCTACTCCTACTGCTACTGCTACTGCTACTGCTACTGCTACGGCTACTGCTACTGCTACTGCTACTACTACTACTGCTGCTACTACTACTATTACTACTACTCCTGCTGCTACTACTACTACTACTACTACGACTACGACTACGACTACGACTATGACTACGACTACGACTACGACTACGACGACGACTACTACTACTACTACCACCACTACTACTACTACTACTACTGCTACTACGACGACGACGACTACTACTACTACTACTACTAGTACTACTACTAGTACTACTACTAGTACTACTACTAGTACTACTACTAGTACTACTACTACTACTACTACTACTCCTACGACTACGACTACGACTACTGCTACTACTACTACTACTACCACTACTACTACTACTACGCTGCTACTACTACTGCTACTGCCACTGCTACTGCTACTGCTACTAACACTGCTGCTACTACTACTTCTACTGCTGGTTCTACTACTGCTGCCACTGCCACTGCCACTGCTAGTGCTACTGCTGCTAATGCTGCAACTACTGCTACTGCTGCTGCTTTTGCTACTACTACTACTCCTCCTCCTGCTGCTGCTGCTGCCGCTGCTGCTGCTGCTACTGCTAGTACAACAACAAGTAACAACTCTTACTACTGCTGCTGTTGCCGCTGCTACTACTGTTGCTTATACTGCTACTGGTGCTGCCGCTGCCGACCGCTACCAGCACCTTTGCTGCAAAATATCCGCGCTTCGCATAGGCCACAGCAATCCAAGCCATGGGGCCTCCCATTTTGTGAGCTCTATACATTCTGGGTGCATGGAATGGTGAAGCGCCCTTGCTGGCTGATTGTTCTTCTGTGGGTTGCTTTGGGTATTCAATTCGGTGAGGTTTCGACAGCCTGTTTGGGGCAAAGGACCTTGCCTTTGGTTTTCCGGTTCACGTTTTTGGGGTGACCCGGCAGGAGCCTGAATATACAATAGGTTGATGTTTGATGGGCCTCATTGGCTTGGTGCGTGGCTCTTCCAATTTTTTGCGCAAATGTGTGACATGTATGGTTCAAAGCCGCGGCTTGGCCCGCGAACATGTTGCCGCAAATTGTTTCCAAGAACGGCAGGCCAAACGCAAGGGGAATTGTCATAGCCAGACTGTCAACAAGAGTGTGGTCGGGAAGGCGGTTCAGATTGATTGTGAACAGATCGATTGTTGGGAGGGCAGCCTGCCCTCCCCAAGCATGCTGGGCCGTGTTCTATGGTGTGGGTTGCTGACGTGCCAAGTATGGGCGGCCACCCTGGACTGCGTGTGGGGCGCTTAGGCGCCCCTCTGAGAAAAAAACAAGTGCCTTTGATTCAATGCAATCCTTGTGCCGTGCAAGTATGCAGCAATGGCACGTTTTTTTCTTTGGTTGGGCGCTGTGGAGATCATACGCAGTTTTGTTTGGTTTGGGTGAGTCCAGAAGGATTCTGGAACATATCGCTTGTGACCGAGGCCAGGCAACACCCTGCAGGCCACAACCTTTGCCGAGCTGCAAACCGCGTTCCAAGGCGCGGATTTGAAGAGATTTTCAACTGTAAGGAACCAAACTGGTCAAAACTTGTTTGGGGATGCGTTTGGCATGGCCACTTGTTTACGCGGCAGCGTGTTGGTTTCACACATGAGGTGCCCTGGACACCTGCATTCGAATAGACGCTGACATTGTCGTCGGCAGTACCCTAGGAGTTGCAGCTGGCCAGAAACTTGGAACATATGCTGTGCCATGTCTTGCTAGGGCAAATGCAACTGGATTGCCAGCTTTTCTACCTGATGCCAATGCCTTGGCACACTGCCTGAGGTCGAATAGTGAAAGCTTTCTCGGAGACCGTGGCTGTTCTTGATGGTGGGAACACCTTCAGTGGAGGCATGAGACCTCCCGCAGAAAAGTGGATTTGTGGTAGCGTGTCATGAGACTTTCCCGCTGTGTCAGGTGTTTCCAACAATGATGGTATTCAAATTTTTTCCGTTTTGGGCGACCTCATCTTGGAGAATCTGACGGTCCTTGGCCGGCACGGTGGTCTGATTTTAGCACGTTTTCGGATGGAGGTCTTGGTCGGACCGAGGTTCAAAATGGCTATGCTGCCGCTGGAGGTGCGTTGGATGTTCAGAGTGGGAGCTTAGAAGCTTACAATGTGATCTTTCAGCGCCTTGGCAGAGACGAATTACATTCAGCAGGTCTTTCAATTACATTCAAAAGTGAATTGTGACGACGTTTTCCGTGATCATATGGCATCCCGGGGGTCCCCGGTTTGTTATTTCACTTTAGCACTTCTTTGGGCAACTTCTCACCTCACAGCACATTCGAAGGAACAACTTCGCATCTACAAGTGGTGGCGCTTTGCAGCCTGCCAGCAACTAGCAGTGAGTCCACCAGGAGAAGGTAGCATCATGTGCCTAAGGGTTGGCCAACCAGCCAGACACCCAATGCCTTGGTATGCCTCGGTTCCCCCAATGCCTTGGTCGGGAATTGAGTTGCGATCAGGTGGTCTGATGATGCTTCCTCCCTCCTATTTGCAGACTGCATATTTCAGAGCAACGCTGCTGGTGGAGTTGGTGGCGGTGCATGTCATATTGCTGAGACTCTGGAGCCTTGGCTTTCCGACCACCTTTGCTTACATGTCAGCCCGGGCTCAGCAGCCTGATATCCTGAAAGGTGAAAACAAAACTTGCCCAGGGCAGTAATAAGATTCGATGTAATAAACCAAGATGCTGTGCATTGACAGCGATGTTACACACTTTTATATACACACTTTTCTCGCAGGGGGTGGCAAGACACTTGGCTGCACTGTGATGGATGGCTTTGGGCACGCTTTTGTAGCTCCCTTTGCCACAATAAATGGAGCGGAGAATCCAGAACATGAAGAGCATCGTTAGTTAGATGCCGTTGCCTGAGGTTACAACTTCCAGAGGTGTTGGTTTGTCAGCAATGTCGCCAGTTCTGGCCAAGGACTGGGCTAAAACGGGGAGAGGTGGCATGCATAGTAGCATGCGATATTATGCGACAAGAAAAGCCTGAACATTTCAACACCTGAGTTTTGAACATACGAGGATGACCACAGGGCCTCAGCACGGGGTGTAACTAGGTTTCACGGACCAAACTTGGGCTTCTTCAGATGACAAGCTCCCATTCATCGGGGGAGTTATCGCTGGCAAGTAGAGCCTTCACCGCCTGTCGTCTTGCAGGCGGTGCTTTGCGGCTGGAGACGCCTGAGGCCGTTCACATCGGATTGGAGAATGTGCTGTTCAACACGAACAACGCGACCTCCGACAACGACGTGTATTGCGATCTGAGCCAACGAACTAGACTGAACTTGAAGCTTGGACTGGGAGAAGTGTTGATTGCCAAAGGTAAAGTGTGGGTGCAGCTGGGTGCCTTTGGTGATGCCTTTGGGCTCGTTCTTTTTGAGGAATGGCTCGGTGCTCGAAGACATCTCATACAACTTGCTTTTTGGGACCTGTGTCTCCAGCTGCAAAGACAATGTTTTCATTGACTGCGCCGAGGCACCTGGGCTGTTCGGAGGGTGTGCGGGCGACGTGGGAGCTTTAAGAGAACCACATGAACACGCAAAACTGTAAGCCATACGAGTGCTGTGCAGTGCAGGGTCCACCAGTGTCAGAAGTGATTCGGCTCAGCGTCACCTTTGGGGAGCCCTCAGGATCCCCACATACAGTGCCTGAGGCGCGGCAAAACACCTGGACCTGGACCTCCTCGGCCACCGGCGATGAAGCTGTGGCCGCCATGCAGATTGCAGCCGATGGCAGTATCGTGGTGGTTGGCAGCACCCAATACTATTTGGGCGGCTCCGATGGCGCCCTAGAGGCCTGGCCATGCAGATTTTCGACGGCGAGAGTCTGAGAATGTAGTGACTGCGCAGTGCAGGTCGTACATGATGTATCGTATATTTGTGTGGGGGAATGGGGCAGCACGAAAGAAAGTGAGGAATAGATCATGGTCACAGCGGCGGCTCCTTTCCAGTTACCCAGCATTTAGTACAGTGAAACTGGGACTCAAGCCTTTTCTGTGTTATTCACTCGGGGTGGGATGAAGAGGAGGCCCTTGATTGTCTTGACCAGCCATTCCCGGCAGGACATTTTCATGGCACATCTGGATGTGGCAGGAAACTTGAAAGGATCGAAGCTGATCGAGGGTACCGGGTCGGATCTTGCAAATGCCATGCAGCTCGACTCCTCTGGCAATGTTTTCATTGCAGGCTCGACCACCAGCGGCCTCGATGGCAACCCCAATGCTGGGAATGAAGATTATTTCATCATCAAGCTCAATAGCGCTGGGGTCACGCAATGGACCTTCCAGTTCGGTACTAGCAGTTCTGATGCAGCGCTGGCCCTTTGTTTGGACGGCTCTGGAAACGTTCTGGTGGCGGGCCGTACGCTTGGGGTCCTGGATTTCTCGAATCTGGGCAGTGGTGACATTTTCATTACGAAGCTGGACACTTCAGGGTCCTCCCTTTGGACCACTCAGACGGGAAGTACCAATGACGACTGGCCCCTGGCCATTCAAGCCGATGCAGCGGGGAATGCTGTGGTGGCAGGCTACACGGAGGGTGATATGGACAACAATGCCAATGCAGGCGGCAAGGATGTCTTTGTCCTGAAGATCTCTTCTTCTGGCTTCCCCATCACATGGGTGTACCAGCTTGGAAGCTTGGATGATGATGTCGCCAATGACCTTAAACTGGACTCTTCTGGCAACATCTACGTCACAGGCTACACCAAAGGATCTATGGACTTCCAGTACTGGGCCGGTGGCAAGGACCAGTTTATCCTCAAGCTTGACAGTGCTGGGACGAATCAGTTCACTTATATTCAGGGCACTGCCCTGGACGAAGAGGCCTTCGCATTGCAATTGGATGCTGTAGGTGATGTGGTGATCGCTGGCCGTGCCTCGGGCGGCTTGGATGGCTATCCCGTGGTTGGCGGCTCCGATCTTTTCTTTCAGAATGTCGATGGTGTAAACGGTTGGCACCGCTGGACGCGCATGCTTGGAACCACAGGAGAGGGGTGATCGGTGGGAACCGGGGAAGAATGGATGGAGCAGCTCAGTAGTTTCAAAGTTTAGAAGCAGTTTGGTGGGTCTTCGAGTCAAATGATTTGGAACCAGTCTGTCCAGGTGACGACTCGGTTTTGGATCTTCAAATCGATGCTTTTGGCAATTATGTCATTGCCGGCTATGTGAATGGCCAGTTGGATGGCAGTGCTTGGACAGCTGCAGAAGGGCAAGAGGCCTTTGTCATGAAGGTGGGGGCCCGATGAAGCCGCCTGTGGTTGTTGCAGCATCTGAAAAGGCTTCAAGACTCACTCCTTAGACTCGTCGCTCGTGGGCATCCGTGAGATCTTCCCCCAGTCGCTGGTTGTCGGTCGCTGTCGCTCTGTCGCAAACGAGGAGGTCCCAAATCTGTCGCGGTAGTTTCATGTAGTTTCAGGCGGCCAACCACGGCCAGAACCCATTGATGCCTGGCTGAGCAGATTTGGAATGCCTTGTTAGACTTGTTTCGGATAGGCTTTGGGGCATGGCGTTCAGCACCATGATGCTGAGGAGTTGTTACTTTTGCTTTCCGTGCTACTACTGCCTCAAGGGGCAGCACCTTCCTTCCTGGTTTGCCCTGATCTTAGCTTGCTCGGCCAGTTTCTTTTTGCTTCAAGGATCTGGAGGTATGATGAGGTTACGTACCAAAAGCATCCAAAAGCACATTTAGCCGCTCCTCATTGACCAGTGACCTTACGCCTTACACCCATCAAGCGTGACCTCCAAATCCTTTTCGTCAAAGCACGGGCATGTTTGAACTGTGCAGCTCAGGATCCCACCGTCTTTGACCGGGGTATGGACTGTCAAAGTTGCTCGGCCGGGCAGTTTCAAGCATTGGACACTGGAAAGTTCTACTGTGATGATTGCCCCAAAGGGCGTCTTGGCTGCATCAACATCCACTGCGAAGCATGCATGCGACAGAGAGTCCTTTTTGAGGCTCCCCCAAATTAGCCGGGCTGTGACCAGCTGGCAGAAGCAAATCAGTGGCTGGTCTGGGGTTGCTGAGGACATATCAACCTGCTGTGGGCAGTTCTGAATGCCTGAGCTGCCCAACTGGACGCTCGGTCATCGCAGACACTTTTTAAGTGCAATGGACCTGTTTGTTGGGCACTAGATTCGTTCGTTGGGTGGGTTGCCTTGCGTGACACGAACTCTGCTACTGTGGTGGATTTTGGATGTCAGGACTCTTTTTTGGGCTTTGTGACACATGTCAAGATTGAGGTCGTGGTCATAAGTATTTTCGTGCAGATCATGTTCTGCAAACAGTTTTGCAGGGCTCACGAAAGCCCGAAAGTTCTTTTGATGTGAGCTAACCTGAGGAACTGACCCTGCTGGCTCGTCATGTTGTCTGGGCTATGGGCTGATTGGATCCACGTGCCTAGCCTATATAGCAAAAGACAAGTGTTTACCACGTGTTACAGTCGTTTGTGCTGGTGGTTTGTGGGCCTTTTGTAGGCGGAGGGGTATTCTTTTTTGTACTGTGTTTTGTTTATTTTTTGTTTTGTTCTGGTGGCTTTTGGCTTTTGGTGGCTTTTTGGCTTTTGGTAGCTTTTGGCTTTTGATGGCTTTTGGCTTTTGGTGGCTTTTGGCTTTTGCTTTTTTGTTGGCCTTTGGTGGCTTCTGTTGGCTTTTGGCTTTTGTGGCCTTTTTGGCTTCCCTTGCTTCGACGGCTGTCGTGCTGGAGCTTACAAGGCTGTGCTGCTAGGAAAGGAAGGAAGGAAGGAAGGAAGGAAGGAAGCAAGGACAGAGGGAGGGAAGGAAGGAAGCAAGCAAGCAAACAAGCAAGGAAGGAAGGAAGCAAGCAAACAAGCAAGGAAGGAAGGAAGGAAAGACGGCAGCAAGAAAGGAAGGAAGGAAGGAAGGAAAGAAGGCAGCAAGAAAGGAAGGAAGGAAAGAAGGCAGGAAGAAAGGAAGGAAGGAGAGAAGGTGAGCAGAGTGCTGCTGCAGGTGGCCAGCTTGCAAAGCTGTGCTGCCTGCGGTGGCCAGCGTCGTGAGCACTGTGCTGCTGCAGGTGGCGAGCTTGCAAAGCATTTGGGAAAAGGAAAAGCAAACATAATCAATGGAAAACAACCGAAAAAAACAACAAACAAATAAACCAACAAACAAAAAGCCAAAAATAAATCCGCAGCCTTTGTGGGCAGGAGCAGACTGCAACGATCCTGCTTGCCATGCCATGGTTTTCTCCGCTTCAACAGGGCTCCCCCCAACAGTCGGCCCTCAGAGGTGGCCCAAAGCTCGGCAGACCTTGAGCCACACCATTGGGTGGGTGTTTCTTGCAGGTTCACTTTCCTAACTGTGACAGGGCAGCCCTTCTCAAGATTCTGTATATCACAGCAGTAAAACACTGGGCCCTTCTAAAATCAGGAGCCAATTTGATTCAACCCTTGCTAAAGGAGCCTCTTTGTTTGGGGTCTTTGGTCTCTTCATCTTGAGATTCAGCGAATGGACGCGTCATCCGTTCCTTCGAAACTTCTGCCCTTCCAGTGTTTAGAACATGTTTCGACGAGGAGGCAGTATGTATGACAAGAGGACAGGGTGGGTTGCTTGGTTGGTCAGCGGGCTGGCTTGTTGATTATGAAATTGAGATCGGCATAGACAGACGAACGGACAGCACGGCAAAAGTGTTGGGAGCTAAAGAATTTCACATGGAGGAAGAAGACGTTGGAACACAACAAGCAGGGAGATGAAACTATATATCACGAAAGGTAGCCTCAGGCTACCTGAGTTCTCCTTGCTTTAGCAAAAATGTAATAAAATTACAATCAGGAATTCGTGCTTTGCCTAGAGTTTGGTCCTGTAAGAAGGGCTTCTGTTCGACAGGGGGGGCCCCCCCCCGCTGGATCATTCCCCCCCTGCGCCGTCGCTGTTTGGGTCACATCCATCCACCTTTGACGCCGTCATGGACTTTAGCAGGGTTACTTGTGATTGCCTGCTACCTTTCGTTCACCCCCTCCTCTCTCAAGTATATATATATATATTATATAACCAGATGCAGGGAGATGATGCAGGGAGACCAAGGGTGGATGGATCAAGGAAAGGCAAACAAGGACAAGGAAAGAGCAGAGACAAAGAATGACCTACTTGCAGAGATAGAAGGGTGTTAAGACTACTCGACTTTTTGATTTGCTTGAAGCATGAACATTGTGAATTGAATCAATGGTGTTCATTCGCCTTTGCGGGACTAGATTCTGCTTTTGTGGCTTGAGCCCATCCAAGGTGCTCGATATGTTGTGTCCTCAGCTTTTGCTTTCTTGCTCCAAACTGAGCTGGTGCAGTATTTCCAGCGCTCTTCCAAAAGTCAGGGCAAATACAATTGTTTTTGGCACCCATTCTATGGGCACCAGCAGATACAGTGTTTGCTAGTGACTTCGGCATAAGTTGGTGTGAACATGCAATTGCGTTTGTACTCTACGGGGGTGCGCACTTCCCCGTCCGCCCACCCAAACTGTGATCTGCATATTAGACTACCGCACCCTACTTGGCGAGCCTTACGGCAGCAACAAAAAATTGTGCCGTATTGCATCACTTGGACGACAAGACTGCTAACCTTAGTACATCTATTATGCCGCGCACCTCCCAATCGCACGCGCCATGGCTAAGAAACACGTATCGACATCTCAGCAACATCACGTGACATCATTTGAGTCAGGTACCTAGACCCATCCGCGGAAAAAAGGAAGAACGATGAGACTGAGAACGAGGAGTTAAAGTCAGACCCATCCTCCCCAAATTCGGAGGGCGAGATCGGGCGGGATCGCCGTGCCCACACTGCTTGTGGTGTTGCATGCGGGTTCAAGTCTCAGGTTCTGGACAACATGAAACGCAAGACTTCGCACTTCCTTGGTTAACTGAGGCAGTTTTGGCTATTATGGGCAGAATGGCGCTTGCTTGGTGTGCCCCGCTGGAACCTACGCCGAAGAGGAAGGTTCTGCGAACTGCACGGAGTGTGCTCCAGGGAAGTTCTTAGATGATGATGGAATCTTGCATATTTGGAATTTGTTCGATTTCACCCAAAGATTCTGTTCACACCCAGGCATTTGCTTCATCTTTCATTCGCACTCATGTTTACTCTTCTTGGCCCAAAGTTCTATTTTCAGGAATGGACTGGAAACTTCATATTCTGGAGCTTGCATGTAGTTGGTGCCCTTTGGGCACCTATTCCAACACGTCAGGCAGTTCATCATGCTGGCCTTGTGCGCCCGGAACTTTCAATGCAGAGCTGGGCAAGACCGAATGTACGACCTGCACGCGGGGTGTGGCCTACGCTCCCCAGTCCACGGCCTGTGAGCTGTGTTATTCCGGGAGTGGGCCGAATGACCAGCGAGATGACTGCCCTGCTTGTGACCCAGGCTTCTACTCCACGAGTGGCACGTGCGAAGCCTGTGCTGCAGGGAGGTTTCAAGATATGGCAGCGGAGAGTCTGTGCTATGACTGTGGTCCTGGAACCTATTCGAATGGAACCACTTGCCTCTTTTGCCCTGCAGGAAAGACTAGCTCGACAGCGGCAACATCGTGTTCCGAATGTCCGCGTGGGAAGGCCGCCAATTCTGGGGATCCTCAATGTGCCTCCTGTGACCCAGGAACCTATGCAGTTGCTGGAAGTGAAAATTGCACCCTTTGTGATGGAGGGAGCTTCTCAATATCACAGGCTTTTCAATGTACAGCTTGCCGGCCAGGGACCGTGTCGGCTCCTGGCTCTCCAGGCTGCTCTCCTTGTGGGGACGGGCAGATCCCCAACGCAGCACAAGACATGTGTGTCGACTGTCCAGCTGGGAAGAAGAGAGATGCCGCGAAGGATTTGTCCTGCGTTGCTTGTGGCGTCGGCGAATTCTCATCCAACGCCTCTTGGACATGTACTCCCTGTAGCTTCGGGACCTACAGCCTTGCGGACAAGAGCGGCTGCGGTTTGTGCCCCGCAGGGAAGTTCGCCCCGAGGTCCAGTGGAAGTTGCAACTTGTGTGCGGCCGGATCGATCCCCGACATGTACCAAGAAGCCTGTGTGGAGTGCTATGACGGGGAATATGCACTGGCAGGGAACGCCACGTGCACTCTTTGCGAGCCTGGAAAATACAATGTAAGGTTTGGCCAGTCCGAATGCACAGATTGCCCTGTGGGCAAGTACGTGAACTTTTTTGGAGCATATTTTGCTTCTGATTGCATGGATTGCGTGGGGGAAACCACCGCAAGCGCAGGTTCCACCAACGCTAGTGACTGCATTGTGCCCGACTCCAACCAGGTCTTTGAATGTGTCGCAGGTAAACCTTGCACGATTTCCAACTTCACAGGCATTGGATTGGTCGAGAAGCACTCGGTCATGGCCAAGGAAGAGTGGTGCGGGGGCCAGGTTGGCGGTGGTGGCAGCCCGGGTCCTTTCTTGAATGGCTCACTCCCCTTCGCACGCCGTCTTTATGGCTACTCCGACGCGCCGGTGAGCGGCTTCGGATCGGATGGGCGGTCCGGGCGTGGGAGCACGAACTACACCTGGGCGGGCACGCTCTCGGCGAACCCTGGGAACTATACACTCTGTTGGTGTGGAGGGCTTAGCAAGACTTGCTCGGATGGTACCGCCTATCTCTTTGACGTGGGAGTGATTTGGGTCGCAGGGCCCTTGAGCGGTCAAGAATTTTTCTGTGTGAAGGGGCAATATTGTGAGAACAAAGGTCCAATAAGTGGGGTGGGCTTTACAGCTGAAGATCAAATCTGGGTTCGCGATGGCTGCACCATTGACTTTGCTCGTGCGAGCGGGGTTCAAGCCTCAGTGCCGGCCCAAGTTCAAGCACTGGTGGGAGGCAATGGGGAGTTAGACCTCTATGCCAGCATGGGCTTTATTGCAGAGGTGCCAGTTGGGTACTATAAAGCTTGCTGGTGCTCGTCCAAAGGAGAGAATTGCAGCAGCATGGATCTGAGCCCAAGTGCAACTAGCTCCTTGTATTTGGAATATGAGGCTGCAACCATGGTCATTGAAGGGCCTGGCACAACTGCCGAGGTCGAATGCTTCGTGGCGCAGCCATGCTTAGTTGATTTGCCCACGACTGAGGGCTGGTCGGTGAATTTAAAGGGAGGTGACCGACTGTCGGTCCTGGAGCAGTGTGGGCAAGGGAGTCTCCTTCGAGGACTGCCTGGTGTTGGCATTGCGGAGACTTTCGATGGATACTCCTTCCAGTTCAACCAGGAATCTGACACAAGCATCTACTTGGAATCCGACCCTGGTTATTTCCGCTTGTGTTGGTGCCGGCCCAACAATGAGACAAATATTCCATGCAACACCTCTGCCGAGTTCAATGTCGCTGCCGGGCTCTTCATTGCGACCGCGCCCTACTCGGGGCAATCCTATCAATGCCACATAGGAGCTGGAACTCCCGGGTGTTTGGGTGGGGGAAGTCCTGGGATTCGAAACGTGGAACCGCAGCATCTGAGAAGACTCAGAAGACCTCAGAAGACCCGAACGTGTAGTGATTCTTTTTGCGAACGGAACGTGGGGAAGGCCTTCCGATCCTTCCGACCCCTTGAAGGATCCTCATGCATCTTCACCAGTTCAGACTTCCGGGGCGTGAATCTGGCGAGTGGCGATGTGGTCTTGCCCTTGACCACCTGCGGGGGCAGCAGTTTGACAGCTGCATTCCCTAGGTTTCAGCCCGTCCGTAGCACTGTGAATGGGAGTGGCTACTACTACCACCTTGGCGATTTGACGGATGACGTTTTACCAGAACGGGTGGAGGTGGGGGAGAAAAACTTGGCCGAGAGACGGGCCGCTATTGCTTTTTGAGGGACAGTTTTTCTTTGGTACCTCCCACTTTCTCCCACAACGGACCATGTGACAGACGCGTTGATTACCAAAGAACATGAGGCCTTGGGAAATTGATTGTCCCTCAAAACCACTTCTAGTTGCTTCTGCCCACTCAGTCAGGTCTGTTGGTGCTCAGCCCGTTCGACCATTTGCAACCAGCAAGTCGGCTTTCGGCGGATCGTTTTGGAGCTCTATGTGGTTTGTCCACCAGGGAAGTACGAACTTCCAATCAGCACCAGGAAGTGCCAGGCTGGAATCACGGGGACAGCGTGGGAGCACGCCCCATGCGCATACCTTTGATAGGAGAACCTGGACGGTGACTGGCGGGTACGAAATTTGGACCAGTCACTTTTTTGACCACCCTGCAGGAATGTCCGGTTGGATCTTATTGTCCTGGGGGCTGGCCTGCTCGGCTTGAGTCATGTCCAGCTGGAAGCACCTCACCCCGTGCTTCAAGCACTTCGGACCAGTGCCTTTCTGCATAGTGGGTGGTCGGCGAGCGATGGGCACGGTAGGTGATCGGTCGGCGGTGCGCCCTTTGGAACAGTAGGCGTTGAGGCGTTGAGGTGTCGAGGCGTGCCGTTCAGTTGGAGGCACACATGTGCAAGGTGGAACTCCGTTGCTTTTTCGTCACCCTTGGCATAGTTCATCAAAACATCCCCGACTCACGGACTAAGGAACGAATAGAATAGAATAGAACATGTTCTATGAGTTGAGTTGAGGGGTGCCAACAGCGAAGCCATGAGGTGCCTTTGTCGAGCTGGCTATTTTTGGGATTCCACCGCTGGTGCCTGCTTGACCTGTGCCATTGGCTCCTTCAAGAACTGGGTTGCAAGCAGCAGCTCATGTCCCATGTCATGCCCCAATGAGACCACCAGTGCTGTGGGCGCTGCCAGTGTGTGGGAATGCTATTGCACCGGTGATGCCATTGATACCAACCCCCAGCTCGACAGCTTCACCTGCACGGACTCGATGCAGTTGTTCGGCAATTCCAGCGAGACGGACCACTTTGCTGCCACGGAAGCCTCGGTTTTCTCCTTCAACCAGACCTTGAGGGTGACGGACGCATCCACGGAGACATTGGTGGCCGAAATTCGGCAGCAGCTCAGCCAATTCCTAGAGTTGACCCTGGCTAGCCGAGCTTACATTGAGTTGGCCGTGCGCCTGGACACGAGCTGGTATGTGGACTTGACAGTCTGGAGCTCAGAGCGGCCAATAGCACACCAGCTGCAGAATAAGTTTGATCCGGAGCCCTTTGCGGCATGGATTTCGTCCAGCGCGATCGGAACGGCCCTGGACTCAGCCCAAGGTGTGAGTCGTTCAGAGGTGGAGGTTGTGACCCTCCAATGCCCTGATGGGCTCGGGCTGCGAGCAGGTCGCTATGTGAGAGGGATGCAGGATTGCCAGTGCCCCCACGGCATGCAGCCGTCAGTTTCTGGCAGTCCAGGTCTGGAGGATGGATGCACCAAGTGCCCCTTGGGAAGTTACAAATCCTCCGTGGGGGACGTGAGCTGTCAGCCTTGCCCCGAGCCCCTGACGACCACGGTGGACGGAGCCGTGGCCTACTCGACCTGCCGATACATTTGCACGCCGGGTTTCTACAACAACGACCCGAAGGTTCCCACGAGCTGCGTGGAATGTGGTGTGGGCGGCTATTGCATTGATAGCATCCGTACCCCTTGCCCGCCCTCCGAGAGCACGGTGGATGCCACAGCGAGTTCCATCGGCGAATGCCTTTGTGCCAGCGGCTCCCGGTTTGAAATTGCGGAGGAAACTGCGGACGAGTGCTTGAATTGCACCGCCGGGAAGTTCAAGGCGCTGGTGGGTGACCTGGATTGCATGGATTGTGAGGCTGGAAGGTCTTCGGGTCCGGGACAGTCTGCCTGTGATATCTGTGACCCAGGGCGCTATGCCACCAAGGGCTCGGCCACTTGTGAGCCGTGCCCTCCGGGGCGATATCTGGAAAGCGAGGCGGCCACTTCCGTGGACGCCTGCGTGAGGTGCCCCATTGGAACTTGGGGGAATGAGACTGCAGCAGCCTTGGCCTCCACCTGCATGCCTTGCATCTCAGGCTCCACCACCGAGTCAAGGGGATCCGATGACGAAAGCTTCTGTGTACGGCCTGATCCAGATCAACCTCGAGAATGTGTTTCAGGACGGCTTTGTAGCTGGGCCATATGTTCTTCGTTTCGTCCAACACTTGAGACATCCCTTATCTTGCAATTCTGACTGGTTGACTTAGGAAGGCTGGTTCCCTGAGTTGACTGAGGTACCATTGAGGGGATTACTGGCATCAGCCTTCGCGATGGGCATCGGATGGCGATCGTGTCCTCCGAGTGTGGCCCTGGGATGGCAGCGGTCTCCAACATTGCTGGGAACGGCATTTCCACCCGTGCGCAGCAAAATGGCAGCAGCTACAAGTGGGGCAATGCCGAGCGACGCTTTTGTCCCACCGGCGGTGTCTACAACCTCTGCTGGTGTGCCAACATGGGAACCACAACATGTCCCGACCTCAACAACAACTTTCTTCTTTCAGCTGGGCAGCTGATAGTGGCTGGGCCCTTCATAGCTCAACTGGAACCCTGGTCGCGTTTACATGTGACTTTTCTGTTGATATTTTCAGTGAAGACAATCTCTAAAAGACACGTTGATTTTGTTTTGTTGTCTAAAGTCTAAACCCCTGAGTGCTATTATGGCTACGCAGTTGAGTCAGTTGAATCAACAGTCGTTGGAACTCCCAGGGCTGTTTGAGCCACCTCCCAACTCGGCCCGCCATGCCAGGAATGTTTACGGGGTTCCGATTGCCTCGATCTGCCCTTCGAGGGCTATCAGCTCCTGGCCAGCGACTTGGTCGCCGTGCGGCGCGAGGGCTGTGGAGGTGAGGTCGTGGCCCAGATTTCGACCATGAACACGGACGGGGTAGGCAGCCTGTCCTCGAACACGTCCAATGGCATTACGAACTTTTTCCTGGGCTTCGGAGTCTCAGATGGGCAGTTGAACTTTCGGCTTTCCATCGATGCCAACAATGCGGGATATTACCTGTGTTGGTGTGCCAGCCAAAGAGGTCAGCAGAATTCCTGCGCCAATCCAGCGGACTACAATGTCCCTGCTGGCCGCTTCCGCCTCACTGGGCCCAATGTGAACCAGGAAAGTGCATGTGCCGTGGGCCAGGAGTGCGCTGTGATAGGCATCCGAGGCGTGAGCATGCAAAGTGGAGACCGCTTGATGATCTTGTCCGACTGCGGGAAAGGCAAACCCATTTCAGGAATGCCTGCCAACGGGATCTTGGAGACTTTGGATGGCAGCGATTTTGCCTTTGCAAGCAACGGGAGCAGTATCCTCCTCTCCGTGCCAGGCATTTTCCGTATTTGCTTTTGCCGACCCGTCCTTGGCCAAGGTTGTGACACATCCGCGGGCTTCCAAGCCAAAGTCGGCTTGATGACGGCCAGTGGGCCCTTTGAGCAGACGACCGTTTGTGAGTTGGGTAGCAATTGCACCGCTGAATTCTTTGGCGTCGGCTTGGACATAGGCACAGCGGCACAGTTGGTGGTTTCGACGTTTTATTGGCAGCATGTGGCTCCCCATAGATCACAAACAACAACGCATTATTTAAACAATCAACCATTGTTCGGTGCCTAGTTGCTTGCTACAACGGCCCTGCAGGTGACCGGCTCCTATTCACCTTTGGTGCCTGTGGCACTCCGGGTGGGCTCCATGGTCAAGGCTATCCAGCCTTGCGGGAGCCGCTTCTCCTGGAACAAGGAACCAGCCTTCAGGTGGAACAATGGGTCACCAAGTGTGTCCAAGTGAGTCATCCTGTGATTTTCTTGTGTCTGGATGTAAAATCATGACGTTTCAAGAAGCTTTGAGGTGAAGAACGGACCATATCCAACGACCCGAGCCAACCCGACCCAAGCCCACACGCGATTCGGGTGTCGAAGATTGTTGAGAGGTGACCTTGGGCGAGCTGCCGTTGACAGCGAATCCAGGGCTCTTCTCCATGTGTTGGTGTGTTAAGACGGCCTCCTGCATCAACGAGACTGAGTTCCAAGCGCCGGCTGGGCAACTGCAGGTGGATTGCCCTGCTGGGACCTATGCAGTCGGACCTTCTTCAGGCCGGATGCAACGGAGAGCGGTGCAATACAGAACGGACGTGTTTTTCTGGGGGGCAGATCTCCAGTGAACCGAGACCCGTCGGATGTGGGATGGGACGCTGCTGGTGTGTTTTCTTCATACGTAGACCTGCCAGACAGTAGACCTTCATGACCTTCTCGTCGTGTTGCTCCAGGCCAGACCTGCGAGAGGTGCACGCGGGGTTACTACTGCGCGGGCGGGCGGCCGCAAGTGGCTGCGCGCATCGCGTGCCCAGAGGGACAGATCACGCTGGCCATGGGTTCGGCGGCGCGGCCCATGAGAGAGGTGGAGGTCCCGCGTTTGTTCGACGAGCACCCTAGGTCCTAGGTGCTCCAAATGTGGAGACCCCAAATGCCAAAAGTAGACCCAATGAACCAATTCGAGACCTCTTGCGAACGTGGAGTTTTTGACACCCTAATGGCACCCCAAGACCAAGCGCAAAGCTTGGCAAATCTTCGGCATGGCATGACTTTGCGCCTTCCCGCCTTTGGGCTCATGGCCATCTCGCCTTTGAAGCCCCAACGTAAGGTGAGCATCGATGCCTGCGTTTGTGCGCGCGGCTACCAGTACGACGTGAGCTCCAGAAGTTGTGTCGCCTGTGAGGCACCTCGGGGGGGCCAGTGGCCAGGGAGCAGCCAGCAAGAGTAGGAGCACTAAATTACTGTATCCCTTTTAGGTTGATGACACGGCGATCCAGCAAAAAGTTAAAGTTGAGTTGGAATATGTTGGAATAGCGTAAGCTACCATTTTGTCCATTCGCTTTGGGTGGGACTATGAACACATTGTGGGTGGGGACAACTGACCGTCTTCCTTCATTGAGTTCTTTCTTAACTCCTTTGCCACTTGGGGTGCTTGCTTAGGGACAGGGCAACCGAGCAAGAGTTGCTGGGGCCCAAGTTTCAATTGACTATTGTCCTCGCCAAAAGACACTGAGATTCCTGACAAAGTCGTAGGATGTGGAACTGATTATGTTTTGGTGTGAAATGGGGAAGGCAAGCCCAAACAGAGCGCACAGCACGCTCTCTTCATGTGCAACTTCACTCCCAGGTGGGTTCCTACAAGAGCGCGGCTGGGAATGCTGACGCTGGGCACGATGGGAATGCTGACGTCGGGAATAGCTTTCGTATGGGTGCGTAGGTCGGGGTTGACGGGCTGCAATCGACTCCACTCTGTAGCTGCTATGACATAGCCCCAAGCTGATTCAGCTTTCCCGAGGACAGCTGCCAGCTGTGCCGCAGTGGCTTTAGCACCTTCAGCACTGGATCCCTCGCTGATGCATCCTGCCTTCCGCTCGCGGTCATCGATCCGTCCCTGGCCGCCACAGATGGCACCGGCGATGGCACCGGCGATGGCACCGGGAACGAGTCCAACGGCTCCAACGCGACCAGCACCGGCGGGACGATCATTGGCCCACAAGAGCAGTTGGAGGCGCTGCTGGAGCCATAAGAGATATGTTGTATTATCTGTTATATTTTTCCGGAAGAGGCGGGGGCAATGGTCTGGTCCCAGAAGTTCACATTAAGACTCCCACGTACCAACCAACCAGGTACCGGCCGTCACCTTCAACATGTCTCTGGGCAATGTGCCGCCCAGCGACGATATTGAGGAACTCCGGGCACAGCTCGTTGTGTCTTGATGTGAAACTGGCTGTGTCAGAAGTGGAAGGAGTTTTTGCCAAAGCATTCTGTACCATGAGATGGGAGGATTCTGTACGATGAGAGGGCTATCCAGGTTTCTCTTTTCCTTTTTGTATGTTGCTCGTAGTCTACAGTGTTTTTGCGCCTAGATCGTGTTCCGAAGCACCGTCGCGGTATCCACGCGAAGCACCCCTGACGCGATCCGAGTGGAGTCTGGGCTGCAAAGGGTGGGTCAGCCTTCCTTGTTTCTGGTGAGTGGTCAACCGATTTTTAATCATTGATTCCACACCAGTTTCTTGACGAAGGTTTAGGTGCATCTGATGAGTCCATCAAACTGGAGGGTGAATCGTAGGACGTGACAGGTCCAAGTTGTTCGTCGGTTCCAACATTGGTGTGCTGCGATTGGCTCTGCAATCTGTACCTCCCTGCGTGCGGAGATGCTCCTGCAGGATGCAGGATCATATGTTCCACCAACACCACGTTGGCCCTTCTGAAAATCTCTCTCAACCACTTGAGTTGCTCAGGCTTCTCCTGAGAGCGACATTTCTTTGTGGTTTGCGGCCCCTGGTCGGCCCCTTGTGCCTTGGACCTGCCATCCGACCCACTGAGGAGATCTTTGGACTCGAACAGCTCAGCAATAGCACGGCCGGGCGACGATTGTTTGGCCTGTTGCCGGTGGCGACCGTCACCATCAACCAACGGACGCACGATGAAGCAGTTCAAGTCTCTACAGATCTGGATGATGCCTAGCTAAAATGGGTCTTGGGGAGGTGACGCGGATGGCCCCAGAGACAGCCTGGAGAACATTCCAGCCCGAAAGACCCATGGCGCCTGAGGCCTAGGGCCACTCCCCTGATCCTTAAAATTCCCCCGCCATGATCATTCCATACGCATCCTTCGAGATTCCACCAGAGGTTCTACGGCAACTCATCATGAGGAAGGCTAAGCCAAATGCGTGATTACAACGACTTGGGCGGGCCCTTTCATGTCCAGCTGCATGAACTAGTCTGGATGTTCACTTGGTCAGATCACTCTGAACACCTCCCAAAAAGAGAGCTGATTCGGTTCGATGTGCATTGGAGACCTAAAAGTGCCCAAAGCACTTTGTTAGCTGCCTTGGCCACAGACCATTGAGGGTCACTTGGGTGCTCAGGTGAACATCCTCTCAAGTGAGATTGTGGCTGCTGTCGAGAAACACCCGAGCCTAGACATGTGAGCCGTTTGGAGCCATCCAATCTGTGGCACTTTCAATGAGCACTCTTGTCAAACCCCTACTGAGTAGCACGGGGCCTTGGTATAGAAGTCAAGCAAGAATGACTTGACCATAATCCCCAATCCAAGAGAGGAGTGTAGCGTGGGCCTTACCACCTTCCTCTCACTCAGCTACACTTTCAGAGCCTGGTACAGTAGCTGGTATATAGATGAGAAACGTGCCCCCAACGTTGCAGCTTTGTCAAGTCTTTTGATGTCTTTTGTAAACCTGAGGACTTAGTGAAAAACTGCAGTACGGAGTGCACTGTCCAGACTTGGAAGCCCAGCTCTTAGGACCTTGAGCCAGAACAACTTCTACCTTATTGCGGAGGCGGCGGTGTCCATCACAAACGCCGTGGTGATATGTCCAGCTCACCAGTCAGTGCCACCAGGCAAGGGGGGACTGTGGGGGCGGACAGTACAGTAGTTGGTGGTGAGTGCACAAAAAGGACCCAAACCCGACATAGCCCAAACCATCCGTCTACATCAACCCCTTTTCAACCCCGTTGACCTGTGACAAGATCGGGAAAGTTCCACTCCCTAATGTGGATGGCATGGCCCCGGATAACCATGACCCATGAACTCCTCTACCAACAGGTTGTGAACACTTCCATGATGAGATCAATTATCCCGGCAAGAGACCCCAAACAGTGTGTTTGAGTTCTAGAGGTGTAGCGAGGTGATGGTGGTGATGAAGGTGGAGATCATGGTGATGGTGGTGGTGATGGTGGTGATTGGTGGTGATGGTGGTGGGTGGTGATGGTGGTGATGGTGGTGGATGGGGGTTCGCAAGCTGGGAAAGGTCCACAAAGTACTGCACCTGCGGCAAAATCTGCACTTCCAGGTTCACAAAGTCCTGCGCCTGCCACGAAATCTGCACTTCGAGGCTGACAAAGTGCTTCGCCTGCCACGAAATCTGCAGTTCCGGATTCACAACGTGCTTCGCATGCCACGAAGTCTGCACTTCGAGGTTCACAAAGTGCTGTGCCTTCCACGAAATCTGCACTTTCAGGTGGACAAAGTGCTGTGTCGGCCATCAATCTGCATTTCAAGATTCACATGGCGCAGCCCTGACAAGGCGTTTTGCCGCAAGAGCTTCCAAAGACAACATCAAGACACCAAAACGGAGCTTTCGCGCGATTTCTGAAAGCGAGCCACATGTAGGATTTCACGATTCGAAAGTGCTGCACCTGCCACGAAATCTGCATTTCGAAGTGAAGCCGCTCCGATCCTTTTCGCCTGTCACGAAAAGTTGGCTTTGGACCACCAAAGACACGCGGTTTCCCTTGCGCCTGCCACGAGAAGTGACCACCATGTCCGAAAATGTGCGAAAATGTGCACGGCACCACTACGAGAGTGCAGTCGCGACAAGCACCCGCTCCAGCCAACCAGATTTTGCGAGCCTGCGCAGTCGAAGTGCACTTCGACGATTTCGAGAGGCATGAATGTACTGTAAATAGCAACGAATTAGCCGAACACCCCGATGCAACACCGGCCCTTAACCACCACCGTAAGAACCCCTAGTGTGACCACTGTTTGAGGAAAGATTCTTTCGCTTGAAAGACAGAGGTTCACTTCCTGACGGCGATTTTTATGGTCCGTGTTTGTTGAAGCCCGCAGTGCCGAAGGTTTTCCCGTTGTAAGTGAAGAAGATTGCAAGTGCAGCCCTGGATATGGCTATGACTCTGCATCAGCCTTGTGCATGGTGTGTCGTGAGGGCGAGTACAAGGCCATGCGAGCCACCTTCTTTCATGGCACGGAATGCTATCATGCGTATTGATGCACGTAGATGGAGTCGATGTCACGTGGTCAGTTGAATAGAAAGACCTCGTGTGCAGGAAGCCACTGGGGACGTGATTTGCACCAAGTGCCCTGCGAACAAGACGACGCCGGAAAGAGGTTCCACATCCGCTGGTCAGTGTGACTGTATAGCCCCTTGGTTCATATTAGGAGAAGGCAAAGAGAGTGCCCCACAGCCGCAGACACCTTATGGCAGCTTTTGAACACCTTTTGGTCAAAAACCCGTTTGTCACCACCTTGTGGCGCATTCTTCTCCGTGAGGCCGGCCTCACGCGCTATGCGGATGACACCTGTGGCACCTGCCCCATTGGCTTCTACTGCCCTGGATCGGATGGGATCAGCATCCAGTGCCCTCCGAGCTCCACCACCATCACTCAAGGCAAGCAGAAATCCGACTGTGTTTGCGTGGCGGGCTATAGCAAGAACAACATCGCAGACGATCCATGGTGCGAGCCGTGCCCCCGGCGGAAATACAAGGAATTCAGCGGGAATTCGGGATGCACTCTGACCTGCCCCGCGGGGTCCGATAGTGAAGAAGGCTCCACCAGCTTGAGCGACTGCTATTGCAATCCCGGCTTTCATGCCGACTTGGATGACCTGGAGCAGCTGGAAGCATGCAAGCCCTGCAGCTCCTACACAGGCCCCCGTACGTATCCAATGGGAAAAGGAACAGTGTGAGGGAGGGTGGGAAGGTGTTGCATATCTTTCTCACAGCACTTGGATGCATCTTTCTCACAGCACTTGGATGCAACACACCTATCATCGAAAAGGGTCTATTTTCGTATAATTTTCATATTTAAATGTCTACGTGGATGCCCGGTCGCGCAAAACGGTTTCCAAAGAAGGGCAGGGATTGAATGCTTGGAAGGGAGAATGGGGTGAGAGTTGGCCACTTGAACCCTGTTCATGTGATGCAAGCATGGCAAGTGAAATTTCTGATTGAGGGCTTTCCAAGCTCGCATGTGAAGTTGAGGGTTCGTTGAGCAGTTAGTTGAGTTTTTCCAACGCGCAACAAATGGATCCTCAAACAGCTCCTGGGGAGGCCTTGTCTGCCCCGGCGGTTTTGAAGAGAATGGGAATCTCAGCAACGGGGAGAGGGTGCATGTGCAGCCAAGAGCTGTGTAGCTTGGCCACAAATTGGTTGGACTGACAAAAGATGGGAGCTAGCCGGGCTAGCGGGCAAAGAATTCTTGGGGAGTGGAATTTGACAGGACAATGGTGGTGGGACAAGTCAGTGGTTCCAATCCCGGCCCAGGGGGAATGGACGTGGTTTTTTCGCCCGTCTTCGTTCGTCACCGGTCTTTTCAGACGCCCAGGTCCGGATATTTTCAGACAGGGCTCTCCTCAGCCCAAGAGTGTGCTGTTCTTTTAAGCAATGGCACCAGCACGTGTGGTGGTGGCGCTGCCTGCGTGGCCATACGTACCTTTCAACCAGCTCCGTGGGGCTGCCACGGCACCTATGGTGCCTGGCTGCAAGACGTGACGTTTGGAGTGAAAAAACGGTCAAAGGCACAAGAACTCCTGCGCGTTGGTGTCGTAGTAGGCGGCGGACTTGCTGGCAAGGCGGATTTTGATTATACTCAACATCCACAGGGCTGTCGCAGGTTTCAAGAGGCGGGGGAAGACCCGTGCAACTGAGGCAATGCCTGTGCAGAAGGCCGGAAGCCGAAACTCGCACTTGATCTTGGCCGACTAGCTGACAGGGGTCTGTATATAGTTTCTTTCGGGCCACCGGTCCGTGGGTTGAAGCTTTTGAGACGGCCCCCCCGACGATGCATGGTTACGTCCAACCCCTACGGAAGCACAAATTCATGAAATACTCAAACTCTCACTACCTGACCTGGAGGCGGTATTTTAACATAATGGTACAAGGGGCTGCAAGGGGCTCCAGCTTGGCTGGCATAGAATCGTGGCCCTTGGACTGACAAACCCGACGAAGCCCGGCACCTTCGACCGGCGCCTTGGCAGGTGCCAGCGGCATGCTTTGCGGCGAATGCTCCGAGGGATGGGCCAGGGAGCAGTACCCACAGCAGTGCCTGCGCTGTTTTGAGCTCTCCTCTCTTTTTCTCACCGCCAGTACCTCAGATCCTTTCAAGAACCTGAACAACAACTCTAGCGCCGTTCAGAGGGGATCTGAAGACAGCGAAGGTGGCCCCGCCACCCGGTCACGTCCGGGTCGTGCGTCGCGGCGTTTGTTCCAGGGCGCCATCCTGTGGGAGATCTTTCAGAAGGCCACGGCGTTCGCCGAACGATTCGGATGTTTGTGGGGGGGGGTTATGTGTTTTTTTCTCCTTCTCGGAGGGCCTGGATGAGGGAAACCCTTCCTCGACGGGTTCCGTCCCGTGGCATCACATCTGTCCACCAACCGGTCCCCTGAGACCGCCCCCTGAGCCCACCCACACCACGCGGAGCCGCTTTTCCCGCACATCTCCAGATCTCGTGGGAGGCTCTCTTCAACTTCGTGGTGGCCGCAATGGCGGCCACGGCCGCTGTGAAGGGCAGCACGAAACTGCACACCTCTATGATCCGTGGCTCGTTGATTTACACTTGTGCCGTTTGGTGGGACGGTGGGACCGTGGAACGACGCTTAGCCGCTTGGTGGGCTTGTTTTGGACTCCAAAGGTGCTTTTGGATGTTGGGCATCCACAACCTGTGGGCTTCTGGGTGTGTTTCTCGGTCAGCTCCCGCTAGTCACAAAGAGCATTGAAGTGAGACAGACGAAGATAGAGAGCTGTGTGGGCAAGAGGGCGAAGCACTCCGCTTCCTGCTTCGAAGGGTTGGGTAGTTTGAGGTGCTCGTCGTTACTCCCCTTCGGGCTCGCTGAAACCAAAACGTGAACGGGCGAGGTATTGCCTCCCAGTTCCTCGCTGCCTGAACCTTGCCAGCACATGGTGATGTCACGCTCATGACGTGTTTGCCCAAAGAATACGCCAGGGAAACGGGACATGTGACATGTGTTTTGTTAATTGTGCCCACGCATGGTTGATTGCAAGCGTCTGAGAGTTGCTGTGATTTTGTATATATATCTATATCTATATAATGTAGTCCATCTATTCAACTTCTCTTCCTAGGATCTTTGTGTATATATATATTTATATAGCCAGTCTGTCAGGCAAGCCAGGAATAAACTTCATGTGATTGGGGGCACATGTGCATGTATCTATAGTGCTGCCTCCACAACAAGTCTATCCTTGAATAAGCGAGCTCCTTTAGACGACTGTTCTTTTTTTCCGGATTTGTATGGGTTGGTTTTGTTTAGCAATCACATTGCTTCTTTCCAGCCCTTTCACAACCCTTACTACCGCGCATTGTTTTAAGTGAACTTGTGCAGGAACAACTCAATCAGCAGAGCTATGCATGACGTGATTTTTATGCCACATTATATACACGCATTTTTGTTGAAGATGTGTCATGCCGGTGTGAAGACAAGTGTCAACTTCCGGAAAGCACAATTTGGAGAAGAAGTTAGTTTTCTCCGTATTTGAGTGGTGCATCAGTTTGCAGGAGAGAAAGCATGATCTGGGAAAGAAGTTTCACATGCCAAGCTTGACCAGGAGCACTTTGAACAAAGTAGCGAAGCAAGACACTAGAACACCTTGAATTCATTGAGACAAGCAAGAATCGAAAGGCAAAACCAAAGTCAGAGGACTAAAAGTTGGATTCCTGGATGACAACTAAACGAAATGGCATGCATTCTAGTCACTTCCACTTGTGGGTCCGATAAGATAAGGTTTATTGTGGTTGTACGCTTTCGGCAGCAATTAAGATCCCCAAGTCTCCTGTGCATTCTTAGTTAAACATTTGTTGCTGGGGTTGTACTTAGAGGCTTTGTGAGCGCAATGATTGCCATCAATTGCAATCATTCAAAATCTGGATCCAAGATCACAGATCCATAATTTCCGAGATCAAGAATAATCGATCTTGGATCCAAACAGCTTGGATCCAAGGTCCAGGATTTAGCAAGCCGGGAATTCTTGCACCCCTGACATGTAAGTTGCTTGCCACGCAGGCTTTCTCAAAAAAGCTTCAACAAATCATAAACAAGAGTGATTTGCAATGGGAAGGCGGTTCCTTGTTTTTAGGGTGTTTTAGGGGTGATATATAGATTCTATCGATCTTCATTGTTGGCCATAGAGGGGTTCCAATTTAATTGTAATTATCAACGAAGATGCATGAAGACGCAGGAAGATGCATAAAGAAGCACAAAGACTAAATGAATGTTAAACACAGAAGAAGAATCTGAGAGGCGGGATTGATTGAGAAAAGACTTGAACGCAAAAGAGACTTGAACGCAAAAGAGGAGAGCGAAGGTTGCGAAACGAGGGGCATGCTCAAACAAAAAGGAATACATGTGAAAAAGATATAACTGTTTTTGGCAACAAGAAGGGTTTCAATTAAGACGAGAGATTCAAAAGGGAGGCTTTCCTTTTGCGAGTGCACTCCCAGCGCCCATCGGGCCACCCCAATCCCTGGTCTTTGCTTTCATTTTTGGGCACCCATGGCTGCAACAGCCGTTGAGCCTACGGCCTAGGGGTTTACCGACCGTCAAACCCTATGAACAACTTCATAAAACTTGGACAATGGACCATACCCTGAAGCTTATAAGTACATATTTTCAGCATTTCACCATCACTTTTCGTCACGCATCCTCACGCATCGTCACGCAGCTTCACACAGCGTCACGCAGTGTCAGCGATACTTAGATGCCTTCAAAGGCCTGCACTGTCTATTTTGATATGGACATGTGGTACCCTCGTCAGTGCAGCTCCAAGCAAGAAATATATCCATGCAACAGCATCCAATTAGAGATACACGCTATTTTCCCGCCAGTCGAGCTGCCTCAGTGTTTCTGAACCAAGAACAGGTTCAGTCCTCACACAGTTCAACTTGGAGCGGCTTCCTGGATTTGATTGGGCCCAACGTGCGGAACGCATGAAGTTGGAGACCGCCTGCTCCGCCTCCAATGCGACGAACACCAGTGGCTGCGACACCCAGCAGGTGGGGACGGTAAAGCGTTTTCCACCCGATCACCCAAAGGAGAAATGAGGCTGAGTCAAAACCTGGAGTCCTGGAGCTGCAAACCCTGGTAGGTTGACCTGTTTAGTTTATATAGTAGTCTCTGTTCATTTTCTGTGGTCAATTCCTATTAGTTTCCCTCCAGTTTGGTAGGTCTGGAAGAAGGCCTTCCGGATCCGCCCCAGGAGATCAAGTTTCCCTGGCCGGAAAACGTCACCGCTGCCTTGCGGGAGATCTTTTCGGTGATGAATATTGCGTCGGGATCTCAGCTGTGCGTCGGGATGGGTGGAGTAAAGGAAGAACTGAACGCGGAAGAGGAGCACTGGAAGAATGCTCACGAACATGGGCACAAATGCCAACAGCTTTTGTCTTCCTTCCTTTCTACCAGGGACCCAAGCGCAATCCTTGCCTGTCAAGCCTTTTCCCCGTTTTACCTGTCCAGCATGGATTTCCTTCGAAACAACGGTCTGAAAGCACAACGACAACAGCCTCGAAAATTATCACATCCACATCTTGGAAGGGCAAAAGGCTCAAAATGCTTTCGCTGCTAAGTCTTTGTAAAACTACACGAGGGTGCTGCGGATTGTAATGGAACAGGGTACTTTTTCTTGTAAACCAGTGGAAGTCCAAACCAACCAAAACCTGGCATGCGCTTGCACATCAAAAATGGTGAGAATGCACCGACGAAAGGCATCTCAAAGGTATTTGCGTCAGGGGATGTGCATCTTTTGTTTGTGCTCCACGTCAATGTGGTGAACATCCGAAAGTGTTGTTGACGACACGCTGGGGAGTTCAGCAAGGCTATCAGGTTAGGACCATCCAGGGACTCCGGGAGCGGCTTCCCTTGGAGGGCGGCGTGCCGAAGCACAAGGCCTCAATTGGCTTCCGTGGACTTCCAGATCCAATGCCATGCAGAGGAGTTGCTCCCGGGCGATCAGATGGGGTGACTTGCGCCGCAGTGCTTTAAAGGTTGAAGAGTTGAAGAGGAAGAACCCACTACTGTATATAGATCCACTAGGAGTCCGGTAGGAGTGGCGAGAGAGAAGAGTTTTTTAATGTGTTTTTTTTCTGCCACGGTGCATCTCATCTCCCCCCGAAAGCCTCTCTCTCTCTCTCTTTTTTTGTTCTCTTTTTGGCATGAATTCTTGGACACTTTTTTGCATTTCAGGAAGAACTTGGCACCTGCGATCTATTACATCTCCAGCCCCCTGCTGGCCATGTTGATGGTCATTTTGCTGTGTGGCTTTATCGCGCATGTGGTGATTCCTCTGGGCCACCGCTACGGTTTGGCGTTCAACAACGTGGCACAAGCGGCACAACAGAAGTCTAAGGCGGTTGAGAAGCTGAAAATGGCCATGGAAGGCCACCTGCTGGACTATGGACTCACCTGGAAGGATGTAGAGGAGAAGCACGTTTCGGTTTCGTACGTGTGGTTGTGTTGGGGGCTGATCGTTTTCGTCCCATTTTGCCTTCTTCTTGTGCTGGTTGGGTGGAAGAAGGCACTGGATTTGGGCGCTCAGCTTTCTTTCTTGTCAGAGGTCACATGTGGAAAGGCAGTGTTCAATAGAAAGGGTGGTGACTCTCCAACTGCCTTCAGCCCCAAATGTTTGCCCTGTTGCTGCTTGGGAGACGCTCGAACGGCTGGAGGACTCCCAAATCTTGGAGGATCATTCTGAGGGAACCCTGCACCACGCGGCCATGGAGCCTGATGAGTTCATCACAGGCGCCTTTCTTTTTTTGGGGTTGGAAACGCAGCACCACCTGGGTCCAGTCCCGCAGGACGGATGGGACGTGTGGTTCGGGTTTCGCCATGGGCCATGGGAGCCGTGATTCATAGGATGTCCATGGAGTGACCCAGCGGGTCGAGATCAATCCGCAGCTGCCACTCGTGAGATCTTGGGAAGAACTCTCTCCCATCGAGGTGGCTTGGCTTTCCGCAAGCCCTTGGCTGTGAAGATGTGCCTCTCAGCTTAATCTGAAGGAAGCTCTCCGCTCTTGTTTTGTGTGACGAGAATGGGATGCCTCACGAATCACGAATGGTGGATCCTCATGTGTAAATCCGGAAGACACTTCTCACTACCCATTTGGTCCTCTTGGTGCTTGTTTCAAATCGTGTGCTTGTTGCGTCGTTCTGAGGCTTACACTTTTTGGAGGTGGACTCCTTAGCAGCAACTTGGCCCAGAACCGCTTTACTCTTGTCATGGCTGCTCGCGTCCGCGCTTGGCCATCCATCCCCTTGCCACAGACCTCCCGAGGCAAAGCTGATTGCAGCGGCAGGGTTGTCGTGGGAGGAGTTTGCGGAGAACCCAAGCTTCCTGGTGATGGAGCTCGAAGCGGAGGATGAAGGTGGGGATCCGCCCCATAGCTCACTCTGTTTTACTCCACTCCTTCGGGGGAATGGAGTGTCATAGCACGAAATTACTTCATTTGCCATGTCGTGCAGGTCTTCAAGCTGGAGCGACCGGGATGAAGCAAAGCCGCAGAGAGTCGACACAGACTTTATATAGTTGCATTAAATCGCCGGCGAGAGCAACGATATCGGTATGTCGTGGTGTTAATGTCTGTTCAGATTTTGATAGATTTTGCATATTTCTGGCGTTCTGCAGTGGTTCTGCAGTTCTGAAAGGTGCCTCTGTGGGTGGATTCTAGAGCTGTTGACCAATTTGCTGGTAAGGAAACTCCCCGAGCGTCTTCTCAAGACATTCGCTTCTGGGCGGTATTAAAGCCGGTCGTTACGAAGATCGGAGATCGTAAGGACCGGTCGTTACGAATGGCCCAATGCAAGCTCCATAGAATAGAACTTAGAACCAACTCCACATTTTTGCTTCGAAGCGCAACTCAGGATGTTTCTTTCAAATTCGCCGTCGCCAATGTCACTTTTCACCTCAAAATCCCCACGCTTCCGTTAAAACTTTGACTTTTTTAGATTGGCAAGCTGAGGTCTTGCGCGCTTTGGTTTGGAAGGTCATGGCTAAGTACAAGCAGCCAGCGGGGCAGTTCGTAGAAATCGAGTTGCTCGCGAATGCTGCCTCTTCCTCAGAGCTTCGAGAGGAACACGCGTACTTGGACGTCCCGGAAACACTTTCCTAAAGACTTGCTAGTGGCATGATTTTTCATGGTCTTGAGTTTGCACCATGAGAGGCCGGTGAAAAGCGTTGAGACAGCCCGATGCGAACAAACCAACTCATGGAGTTTCTCCACTCCTCTGCAGGTGGCAAAACACCAAGAATCCGTGGCGGATTTTCAGAAGTTGGCCGTGCCTGGGCGTGTCATTCCGGTTTTGGGCGCCCGACAGAATCCGCGCTCAACATGTTTTTTTAAGTCGTTTCTGTTGGGGACCACTTGTACTTTGTACTAAGCCTGCTAAGCAAGTGTGGTTTACATATATGATCATATATGTATATAAGGCCCCCACCTAGACCCCACCGAACCGGAGGATTTTGGGACAGCAACCCTCTTTGGTTCACATGGACCCCCCCCTTCAAGCGGGTGCGAGCAACATGCCATGCCGGTGGGTGAGCGGCTGCAGGCCAACAAGATGCTTTTTGACTCCTCGGTGCGTCATTGTGGGAGGCTGCTGAGGCGAGCACGTCCTCCCCGGATTGTGGGGGGGTACAGTTCCAAGAAATCGATGCTGAATACACATATAAACGCTTTGCATGTGTTTTTTGAATGTGTTTTGTTGGCATGCCCCCTTTTGGCGGAGCCGAGTGGTCGGGAGAGGACGGTGCGAAACCGCACCCTGGAGGTCGTTGTTGGTGGATGGGAGTGATCTTTTTTCAGCCATTCCTGGCAAGAAACCGACCTAGCACCCAAAAAGGGGGGCATTGTGTCATCGTGTAGCAGGGTTTAACTAAGTTTGGATGGCTGACATGCATGCCATGGTGCTGAAGCAAGTGGAGCCTGAATGCACATAGTCTGATGACACGTTGGTCGCGCGACACTTGTGCAAAACATGGACCATTTGAGGGAGCTTTTGTGCAACCCAGCGGGGAAAACAACAACATGCTAAACATGCCGGGCAATCCGGCGCAGCCCCCACATCTGGAACCTGGCCCGTACTGGTCCTGATGAGTAGAATCTTGCCCCTTTGTCAGATCTCCATTTGGTGGCATCTATTCATCAACAGTCAGCATTTTTGCACCTTTGGATTTGTTGTGCTTGTTTTCCCTTAGAGCTATAGATCATCTACGCCTATCCAATCATTGTTGCAATATTTGCCGCCTCTCGTGCATCTTGGCTTACCTGAAGCAATTATATACACCAAATTTCCAGGGAGCTTTTGGGATTTTGGGGTGGACTTCGCATGGAGGAACTGTCCGCCTTTCGCGCGGAGGGCGGAGATGCGGGACAACGAAGACGTGGCCGAAAAGCAGGAGGCGGACGCGACTGAGGAGGAGGAGGAATTGGATCCAGCGACCCGGCGTGGCCGGGGTTCGTGGTTTTACCCACCGGGTGTCGCGTCGTTCACCTAGGGTGAACTTCAAATTGGGGGGTATGGATGTGTGGCCGTATGGAGTAGGATTGAAGCACTGATATGGCACCATGTTCGTTGTTGACTAACGTTGTGACATTCCTGCCTAGATGCTGGGGCATTTGACGAAGAGATGGACTGAAGCTGCAGAAAAGGACATCCTGAAGAATTCTTCATCTCTATATACTCTCCAATCGATCTCCCGAAGCGGGTTGCCGACTTCAGGCCATCTTGGACTTTGGGCTCTTCACTCCTAGGCCTGGTCTCTTGGAGCTCATCCGCCTCTCACAGCCTGTCTTCTGGGTGTTGCTCCTCAGCATGCCGCTTCGACCGACATCCGTGGCCGACCTCGCTGACATCGATCTTCGGGTGACCCGCGAGGGGTCCACAACACGAGGTAGAGGAGAACCGGTATCGGTAGAGATTTGCGATGACATTGGGTTTCCTGACCACATGGAAGGCCTACTAATCAAGGTGTTTGAGTTGCAAGTCCTTTTGTGGAAGTCAAAAGCTGAGATTCCAAGGTGGCCTGAGCTGCTATCGAAATTTCTTCAAATGGTCTGGTGTGCGCCAATCTCGGGGGATGATGGGGAGGGGCAACTTCTGGTCGAGATGCGTCTGCTGCCTCATCCTGATGTCGTTTGCTGGAGTTATGACCATCTTTCGATGGCGGTGATTGCGTGCAGTGGATTGTTTATTTGGTGCCTTGCTACTCCGCTCGTCCTGTTCCACCAGATCTATCGGCTGAAGGACATGTGGTTTTCGAGTGTGGCAACTGCTAGGGCACCGGTCAGGGATCTTAAGGCGTAAAAATTATTTTGGTTGCAGAGACTGGCATGATTCTTATGTCCTGCAGGACCGCCAGAACCCTGAGAACTTCAGGAGATATGGCTACTTCATTGAAGGCAAGCTCCGCTATAGTGGTATGCATAGTGGCACTCAGTGCTTGCTTGGCACAAACTCCTCATTTCTCTTTGGGGGGTCCCGGGTGTCGCGACGCGAGCTGCGGCCGCTCGCTGCGACGTGTTTCGGACCGGACGGACCGGACGGACCCGGCGGACCGTGGACCGTGCACCGGTGTCCGCCAGGCTACGAGCCGAAGTTCTGGTGGTGGGACATCCTGGTGAAGCGTGTAGACATTGGCTTGATGAACATTGTGACCTACACCTCCATTGAAGCTTGGCCACATGGACAGTGGTCACATGGCACACTCCGAAACCACGTGTAGTGTAGGGTGACATCCCTTGTCGTCCAGTGGGTGCCGGGTGCCCTGGCTGGGGCAGGTGGTCGCCTTATGCCTGCTGCAGTGCAGACATGTTTTGGTCATTTCAGATGCCTCCAAAAGTGGTATCATTATATATATATATAATGAGTATGATTACCACTGTTTGGCATACCAAAAAGACCAAAACACATTTTGTTAAGCGCCTGTCTTGGTCTCTATCAGTTTCTTCAATAGTTTTGAAGCAGGTGCTGGACCTGATGGAATTCTCAAAGTCCAAACGTATGGAGGGTCTTCCGGCGCCCACTTTTTGGGGGTATCCAGTGCACCCGCAGGCACCTGCCTTGCTTGGCTCCTTGAGGCAATAGGTGAATCGGTCGTGTCACCCGAAGTTGCAAGGCCAATGATGAGAAAGCAAAGCTTTTGCTCTTCCCTTTCGTGTCCGGCTGCATGCTTGCGGTTGCTGCATGGTATCAGCCCTTTGCAAATACACAAGCCGAAATCTTGGACTTCCTGGAGATGTGCCTCTTGAGCTTTCGCTTCTTCTTCTTCAGCATGATTGCGGTCTTGCTGATCTTTCATCCCAGCACGAACCTTACCTTCGGGGTGGCCGCCTCCCGCCCTAAATTCGTTGTGCTTTTCCTGACTCACTTTTTTTTTTACTTTTTTTTTCTTCCGCACCCACCTCAACTGCTTAGGTCATGCGCGCACACATGCACACAATTTGTATGGATATGTATAATGACAATTCTAAATTTCTAAGCATACTCAAGAGCGCGTGCGCACACACACAAAGAGATGACGGGATAGTGTATTGAAGAACCAATGACGCCTCACGGTCGACTTGCTTCGTTGGTTAGGTTTTTTTGGCCTGCTTGCTGGGGGCCTTCTGCCTCTATTTCTGCCTGCACATTGTCCGCCAGCTGCTGCGGCGTCCCCTTGACGGCCCTGGTGATGACAGCGAAGATGACGTGCCTGAGGACGAGGACAAGAAAAAGAAGGCGAGTTTGGGATGAAACATCCCGCGCCCAGTCTCTGTTAGTGGGGGGGGTTGTGCCCCCCTGCAGGAGGGTGCAAACGACCTTGTTTATCTTTCCCTAAATCTTCATCAACCTCTTAGGAGGAGCCTTACAGGGCCATCCAACACCCAAGCCCAAGGCCGCACCAGAGCCGACGCCACATAAGAAGAGCGGGCTGAGGCGCTTTGTAGGACAGGCAGTTGGGGTTTGCGCGGATTTCTCATTGACGTTGTTCTTGTCTCGCTGGATTGATTTGGGTGAAGCCCAGGAGCTTTGATGCGCCTGGTGCAGCCCTTCCGGGAGGCTGACGACGAACAAGTTTTTGTGGAGCAACTTGGTCGGCACGACCGCGGCGACGACCGGGGGTGGTCTGGACCTGATTGATAGCATGTGGGTGCGCCGTTCCTCCACCAGCGCCGTCATCGGGCAGAGTGAGTAGGACTGTGGTGGGACCATTCGAGGATGAACGCTCAGGTGGTCGATGGACGATGACTCATGCCGTGTGGTCTATGCCAGCGAGATTCTTCACCGCCAGAAGAAGAGAGGCAGACTCAGGACTACAGCTGCCTCGTGAGAATGGTCGAAAGATTTGGGGGGGTTTGGGTGGCTCCAGTTTCGGGAAGCTTTCATCGGCCAGCTGCTTGAACACCAGGTTGAGAGCTTCATGATATGCTTTGGTAGGATGGAATCTGAGCTGTTTCCAAATCACTGCCCATGTAGGGATCCAATTAGAAGAACAGCTCACTGAGGTGATAGCTGCTGCATGCACCCTGGGGATGATGGTAGGATAGATTTCAGTGACTGGTTGATCGTCAGCAAAGAATAGACAAGAGATAAAACGACGGATGAGGAGCTACTTTCGGATATGCTGCATGAAGTTGGATTGTGGCGCCTTTGTGGGGCCCTGGTGTTGCTTCATGCTTTCGCGCTTCGCCCAAGGTTACTTCGTGGGCCAAGGCCGCGCGGTCTCAGATTTTGCGGATGGGCCCTGTCTTCCAGAGGCGCACGATTGCCAAGGCAAGGGTTCAGGGCTTGCTGGGTTTGTTGGGATGGAGCCTGGGAAGAGGTTGGAGCCCTGCCATGTTCGTTCCACCTCTCGGAAGTTACCAAGTTAGACCTCCAGGGGGTCTGAATCAAGAAATCCTATTCAGCGGAGTGACCTTCCAGGTCTTGAACCTCTAACCAACGGCGTTGGGAGGCGCCCTCCGACTCTTGAGATGTCGACCCTGCAGACTTGACATGCCCTGTTTTCCATGCTCACGTCATGAGGGTAGCTGGTTTTCAGCCAAAGATTCTTCTGGCTTGGTGCCAGACCGGAGCGACAAGAATCATCAAGAATCTATATACAAGACTAGGGGAAACGGTATGCGCAAACTGGTCCAATGAAAATATGAAATTCCACCCAGCTGGGCCATTGCCAACAAACCATTGACAAAGCAACGCAGAGATTGGGCACCTCTCCACCCTGCCTTTCTGGCCTGGCCACCTTGAACTGCACAAGGCCTTGGACGAATTCACGGCGTTGTGGTTGGACGAGATTGGTGAGAGCAGCCTGCCGGTGGACACGGTCCAGGCGAGAAACCGACACGTCGAAAAACCGACACCGCCCGCTGAAGCACCTCCACGTGAAGGTGTTCGTGCTTGAGTCATTGGTTTTTTCAAGCATTCCGTATGCCCGCCGTATGCCGTATGCCTCCAATGAGTTTGCTCGTGGATCCTGTTGTTGTGACGAAGACTGGGAAGAAGAAACAGCAGGTCCTTTGCGCCTTGACCTCTTCAGTGAAGGGAGTGCCCAGCAAAACGCCCAAGAAGAAGCTGGCCGCCAAGTGGAGGCAGAAGGCGAGTGGCACCCCTTGCCTGGCGCCCGTTGCGGGGCGGATGTCCGCGATTGTCATGCGTTGTGGGCTGGGAGTGGGAGTGGAACAAGAAGAAAAGAAAAGAAGAAACACACACAATATCATATAATTTCATATCACAGCAGCAGATCATTTATGCCCAACGGCTGTGGGTGATAGTGACGAGCTTGCCCAACGGCTTCACTTCCTTGAAATCGGGATTTGTCACTCCTCATCAAAGATAGGATTGGAGATTTCGAGGTGCTGAAGCCGTTTTCGTGGGTCATGCTCAGTTGCCAGAAAGTGACCAGGCTGGAGTGACCCCAAATTGCTTGGAGATTTTGAGAGAAGATGGGAGCGCCGAGCACCGAACATCTCTCGTTTGGCCTGATTCCTTTTGGCAGGGAGTCGTTCCCTGAAGTCGTGAGAGTTGCGGGTCGTTGACAGGTGGAGGACCTGCTGCATCATCATCATATCTTCCACAAGGACGACGAGGAGGGAGCAGGCTCGGCTGCGGCTGAGGTTGATCTTGGGACCCAAGAGATGGACTACAGGATCCGGTGGATGGACAGGGGATGGCGACAATGATTTCCAAGTGGTGCAAGTGAGGAATCTACATTTCCCCAAATACTGTTGGGGTTCTATCTTAGAAAGAAAAGAGCTGGCCACACTCACTGGCCGCGCCCCTGAACTCTGTGGCTGGGCTCCGTGGCTGGGCTCTGTGGCTGGGCTCTGTGGCTGGGCCTTGTCCTCCTCTTCTCCTCCTCTTGGCCGCGCCCGTGGCTGGGCCTTGTCCTCACTTGTCCTCCTCTTGTCCTCCTTTTGGCCACGCCCCTGAACTCTGTCAACTCTGTGGCTGGGCTCTGTGGCTGGGCTCTGTGGCTGGGCTCTGTGTCCAGGCCTTGTCCTCCTCTTGTCCTCCTCTTGCCCGCGCCGGGCTCTGTGTCCAGGCCTTGCCCTCCTGTTGTCCTTCTCTTGCCCGCGCCCCATGAACTCTGTCAAATATGTGGTTGGGTTCTGTGTGCAGCTCTTGTCCTCCTCTTGTCCTCGTTGTCCTTCTCTTGTCCTCCTCTTGGCCGCGCCCCTGAACTCTGTCAACTCTGTGTCCTCCTCTTGTGCTCCTCTTGGCCGTGCCCCTGAACCAACAAAAATTCATTGATGAAGCAGATTTTTGAAGCTGTTTGGGGTCTATGCTCGCAGTATATTTTTCTTTTGTCCTGTGTGGGGGCGGGTGCCAGCAAAGCTGGAGGCTAACTTCTCAGAAACCGTCGTGCCTTCGATGTTGACCGTGTGGACCATGACGGAGCTTTGGGGTGTGACGTCACGTCCTGGTCACGACAGGGTGAAAAAACCCAAGGTTCCAGGCGAGCCCAATCTCAACTCTGCCAGGCCACCGCGCCAATGTTTGGCATTTCATGCCAGATGAGATTCTGGACATGACGCAACGCCTGGGCAAGCTCTCAGTCGAAGATGCCCTATTCCTGGTTCTTTGGGCGGCAGATGTGTGTATAGAGGGATTTGTGAACAATTCCTGTCATGGCCAACGCCGTCACTGTAGATGATGGATATGTTCTTTTCCTTTTTGAAATTTGGTGGTGAATAGGTATATTTAACATACATCGACATGTATATGTGTCCGTGCACAAGTCATGGTTCTGACTTAAGTGCTTCCCATTTTAATAATTTGCCTCCTTTTCTGGCCCTGTCAAGCATCGCCCCCCATCACTCAGCGGCCAATCTCGACGTGAGGTGACCGGCGCGCAGAGTGCCCTCCAGGCCTATCGTATGAGACAGGCGAAGACCGTGATCATTCGAGAAACTCCGGAGGAGGAGGAGTGGACATATGACGCGCCACATGCAAACTCGTGTCGGTGAGCTTAGTCGTGGCGGAGTGCGTGATGCAGTGTATATATCTGGAATCTGAGATTGTTGAACAGACCCTCTGAATGTCTATTTGTGGATGTTTTGTAGCAAGAAGATGGCTACATGGCTACATGAAGTGTGCTCTTGAAATGGTTGCAACGGACTCTCTGATGTTGCTCGCACTCCGACACAAGCTTTTCTTCACGAAGATCCTTGATCATGCTACACTGACCACCCAGGCCGCTGTGTCAGTGGCATCCATTGTGGGTAGTTCTTTTCTGTGCGTGCAGGAGGAGGATGCTGATGTCAATGAACCCACAAATGAAGAAGGCGCAGAGAGACAGAGAGCAAGCGAGCGAGCGAGCGAGTGAGCGAGCGAGCCAGCGCGAGAGACAAAAAGAGAGAGGCAGGCAGGCAGGCAGGCAGGCAGGCAGGCAGGCACGAAGGCACGAAGGCGCGAAGGCGCGAAGGCAGGAAGGCAGGAAGGCAGGAAGGCAGGAAGGCAGGAAGGCAGGAAGGCCAGACAGACAGACAGACAGACAGACAGACAGGCAGAAAGAACGGACACAAAGGAAAGAAAGGAATGAAAGGAATGAACGAAAGGAACAAGAAAAGAAAAGGACAGAAAGAAGGAGAGAAGAAACAAGAGAGAAGAGTGACGCAGAAAGCTATGGGGGTCCACAGATGAAGGCCCTCATTTTCTTCGTCAGTTTACTTTCGTCAGTTTACTTTGAATCCGTTGGGGTCAGGGCTCTCTATTTTGGTCGACCCAGTCGATGCATCGATCCGAGCGCTGAAAGATTGCGAGGTGGGGGAAGTGAAGAAGGACCAACAACCAGAGACAAGGCGCAGTCCGACTGGGGCGCAGTTACCGTGCTGTCGGTCAGACTGTGGTCCTAGACGCCGAGCGCGGAGGACTCATTTTGAATGGTGGAGGAAGACCGAACTAGCGCACTCTTTTTTTACTTCGATTAGTGTTTGGGTCAGTTAAAAGCGACGCCTCGCGTGAATTCTTAAAGGATCTTAAAATAAGCCAGCTGCTGCTGTGACCGGAAGTGAGCTGTACAGCTCCCTGAGCACTCCCAGGCCTCATCGACCACTTGGCACGGTGCATTCATCCTACTCTGAAACCACTTTAAGCTTGACCGCCTTCCAAGCCTTGCCATTTTTGCCAGTACTTACTTGTGCAGAGGGAGAGGTGTTGTTCTACTTCTGCATTCGGGCTCAGAGGCTAACGCTGTTCCAAATCATGCAGCAGGTTGCTGCAGGTTGTAAATGCCCATAAAAGCTCAAATCTGCGTGGAGAGGTCGTTCTTCCTCCTGATTCTCGTAGAGTATTTGTATTGCCTGGAGGGTATGTTTGCTTACTTACGGAGTTTTTTTGTGTCAGACAGGTAGGCCAAGGCACGCGAGGCTTGATGATCAAAAATGTGAGAATTTCGATTCGATGCTTTCTTGTCTCGACGACTGTGTGCTTTCAGACGCCGCTTGGGCTTTCTTCTTTGCCATGGCCTCGTCACCACCCCATGGCTTTTGAACAGCCTTGACCTTGTTCAGAGACGGTTCTACCACCAGTCATCAGTTGTTAGTTGAGGTTGAATGACCACAGACAACTTGCGCATCCACCCGGTAACGAACGCGGGGTGTTTGTGCGCCGAAAAAGTATTGAATACGAACGTGTCCCTGCATCGATCTACGTAGCACAATAAATGACCCCAAGCTTGTTCCTATGCCTGCCAGTGGAAGGTGGCAGCATAGCATAGCCCCCCTGGTACCTAGGGTTCAGGCACAAACTGCTGCAATTTCCTGGTCCTATAAAAGATAGGATGAGGCGCCTCATTACAGAGTCTGAGCCCCATATCATCATCATCATCATCATCATCCTCATCCTCATCTTTTTCTTTCGAGACGCCCTCTGTGCGGAGAGGTGGCGTTGACCCCATGTGACACTGGGTCAGCACTTCGATCCCGGAGGATCAGCTGAAGGAACGCTCAAGCTGCAATGCCAATTGGTGACTGGAGCTCTGTGCATTGGCAAGTTGCGCAGCTCTGAGAAATCTATTGAGCACTCCGAAATTGAGCAAGCATGGGCATGTATGCTCGTCGAGTGGCGCCTTCCTAGCAAAGTACGGATGACAGGCGCACACCCTTCCTGGCAGTGCCTGCATCGTGAAATGCTGCATCATGTCCTCAGTCAGCGGCTCAGCGGCTGCAAAAAGCTCTCCATGGTGAGAGCGCAGGTGGTCCAGCAAGCTTGGCGGCTGGGTCCCGCAAAGCGCGCAATTGAACGCCAGGAAGCGGCAAACATCACGCCAGCGCAGCAAAAACTCGATATAGAGACCGTCGATCGACGTAAGCCAAGTTGCATGCCATGGTCGTCCTGGATTGATGGCGTGTCGTAGATTTTCCATCATCTGATCATCTGGTCTCGGCTCAGCAGCGCTAGCGAGCCTGCCGCGCTTGGAGGTGGATCGTCGTCCACCATCACGGCGCCTCCATGTTGACTCGTCAGCCAAAGCAGGCAGCAGTTCCTCTGCACCATGTCAGGCAACGAGGTCGAAACGACGGGGGGCGCAGCATCGTCAAGCATGAACCAGTGGTCCCCATCCGAAAGTGCCGTCCTATAGTGCCCACACATTGGGTCCGCTCCCAAATGGAAGGAGACAGCTACCACTTCAAGGGGAACCCGGTCAATGTCGATGGAGGAATCCATGAAGTATAAGAGGAACACTGGTGAGGTCCATTGTAGCTTCTGGAAGCTTTGCGGCCCTCCTGATCAAAACGATCGATTCGCATGCGCAACAAGTCGGAGACCTCTGCCAGTGCTTGAAGGCCATATGACTCTAGGCTCCATGTGGCAATCAAATCCTGAAGCTCAGTGGTGTCACCGTTTCTGCCGTCACAGAGATAGAGCCTCATTGGGCAGCAGTGTGATCCGCTATCTACCGTCCGAACCTGAGCATCAGCGTCCGCTCTGGCCTCCCAGAGATTGCTAAAAAAGCACGGTGCCACAAGCGAGAGGAGGTAGTGAGCAAAGTCAACCAAATCATGCTGTTCGAACGGCCTTTCCCACGTTTGTAGCAAAGTCAACCATCGTCCATTGCAGCGGCTCAGCAGGAGAGGTGGTGAGCAGCATTTGAAATACTTCTGGCAGGATTTGCCCGCTGACTGTTTGTCAAGGGACCTGTCTTGTCGGTTCGGTCAAGTGCCATTCCTCGGTGGCCTGCATCATCTTCAACATGATGCTCCCTGGGCCTAGGCTCAAAAAAAGCACGTAGTCCTGCTCCATGGCCAGTCCTCTCAGAGCGTCTTCGTGTCGAAGAGAGGGTCGTGCCGGGTCGTGCCAAGGTTTGCGCAATGTGGCGGAGATCCTCTGGTTGTTGAGTCCCAGGTTGGTTCTTGCGGGCTTTGCCTTTTCCCTTGCTCTTGGCGGGAAAGTGAGCTGCCTTCTGCCTTTTGGACTGGGGCAGGGAGCTTTCGTCGTCCTCCATGGGGGACGTAAGGGCCTTCAGTACTCCCCAGATTTGTTGTACCTGGTTCTGGTCCTGTTCCTCGATGTCCGTGGTGGAGACGCAGAGCAGTCCGGCGAGTTGGAGGAAGATTGGACACTCATGTGCTGCAGTAGTGTGTAGGGTGCAAACTGAGCATTGACGAGTCTGTGGGGTCATGTCCACCAAGTATCTATAAACAACGATCCACGTACGTGTGTAATCTCGTGCATGTTGATGTCGAAGGTGAAGATACATGTCATTGGCCCCAACCGATCTCCCACACAATGAGCAGCACTGGCTCAAAGCAGCGCAGAGATCCGGTATGCTGACAAGTTTCGATAACTCGCCTTGACCAGCCATTCATCCAGCTCGGGATATAGGTGCAAGGATGGGCGGAGGCGCGTGAGGTCCAGCTTGAGGGCCTGAGTGAGAATGGTGTCTGCGTCCGAGAACCTAAACTTGTGGAGGTCATGGCGCACAAAGAGGGCCAAGTGGGTGAACAAGGTGCATACGTGCGGACCAGAGTGCATGTACAGCCCAATTTGGTCAGCGCAGTTTGGGTTTGTAACCATTCTGCATACTTCGTCAATTCAGTCCAGCGATCGCCGTGCTCACTGCCCAAATGGCGCAACAAGGAAGTTGAGCTTTGAGAGAGGTGACCACGAATACCACACCGGAGTCCAAGACGGCGGACCAGGCTTTTGTACCCCACCCAATGGTCGAAGGTCCCACCACTGAGCCCTGCCAAGATCACTGGATGATGCCATAGGAAGGGAACCTCAGCATTGTCCTGGATGAAGGTGCTTCAAGGCTTTCAATGTCAGGAGGGGAGTGCATTTCAGCTCACCTGGTGCCTGGTCACGGAGAGGTTGGAAGGTGTTCTGAACCGTGGTGTGTGGATGCTGCAAGCCAAGGTGCTGATGTAGTCCTGCAGCTGTGGCAATTCACTGCTGCATGTGGTGCAGTGAAACTGGGCCTGAGTCAAAGGAGTACCTGTCAGCTGGGTTCAGGTGCATCAGGATGTGCGTGTACCAAGTGACGGCGGAGAGTTTGAATGTCATGCCACATGTGGTGCACTCCAGTCCTGCCCCCGCCAGCTGTTGAGGATCATCATGCTCTGGTTGGGCCATGAAGTCCTGCAACCAAATCTTTGTGAATTCAAGAGCTTGGCGCAAGTGCAAAACGTTGGAGGTCATGGCAGTTGTGTTTGTCTCTCCTCCCACCGAGTCAGTTGGGAAAGCAGTCGACGATGCAGGGCACCAATGGGGTGCTCAAGTCCATGCGTGCGCAGGAATGCCCGATGAGAATTGTTGGTCGAAAAGGAGTGATCACCTCCAATTTGACGAAGCGGTGACATCATCTGCTATTGAAACATGATCAGGGTGCTATCCGTCACTCCAATGGCGTCAATGCCGTACAAGGAGATGGGAAAAAGACATGTGTACCACAATTCACATTTCTGTGCCATGCTGATGTGGTTCCCCTTCTTGAACCAAGGTAGCAGTTGTCGAAACCGTGGCTGGCATGCGGCCAAACGATCTTCATTGTCAGGATCTGGGTTTGCTGATAGCTGATCTTCACTCCCAAATAGGCGTTTGAAGTTTTGAGTGGGATGTCGTAAATCTTGGAAGACCCGGCAATCTGCAAAGTTTGATGATGCATACGACTGCGCAAGTGTTGTTTCTGCACCATGGTTTTCTGTTTGCCTCGAAGATCAAGGAGGACTGCGGATTTGTTGAGGTTGACAGTCATCCCAAATTTAGTCAATGTATCCAAGACTTGGCCTTCCATGCTTTTGAAGCTGAAACAGAGGTGACCACCATCTGCATAGAACGTGCAGGAGGAGTGCATCCAAGCAGTGGAGGTGAGCTTGGCTACCTCGTTGAGGATCAATGCCACAAATGAGGCCCAGAAAAAGGGGGCACCTCGGCATCCCTGTCGTACACCCTTGTATGTGGGTACCGTGCTGGTATGACCTTTGTATGTCAAGATGTATTTTGTGTCTACATGCCATTGAAGTAGAACACCCATGATGCTCGGAGGAATATTCAACAGTTCAAACGCTTGTTGCAAGGAAGCCCGAGGCATATGATCAAATGCCTGTGTGAAACCAAAAACAACTGGCGCCCTCCGACGTGTCCCCGTGAATTGTGAATCAATGCGGCTTGCATTGTATCGCCACCGTTCACTGAGCTGCGCCACAGCCTGAACGTGACGAAAAACGCGACAAATTGCATCCCACGTACCACGTCCAAGCAAGTAGGCATATTGGGGGAACGTTCTCAAAGTAGGAAGGGCATGGTGTCTGGCTCTGTTGACAAAAAATGGACACGAGGCACTTGGCAATGGGTGTTTGGAGTGCAATTGATCGTAGTGCATTGGGTTGATTAGGCACCTTGTTAGGTTTCGTCAGGAACACACCGCTGCGCCATTCATCGGGAAGTTGTCCATCCCGAAGCCAGAAGGAGGAGAGGATGTGCAAGCTCCTTCCACAGAAAGCTAGGTGCAATGTGTTGTGGAACTGCTTTGCGTCCTTCCAGATGACCCAGTTCAGTTGCAATATCATCAGCTGTCACGGTGAGTTGTGGCAATGCAAACGAAGGGAATTGGACTGGTATGTCTTTATAGAGGTCCGTCATGTAGTGGTCCACCAGCTGTATTTCCTCCTCTGAAAAAATCTTGACCTTGTGAACCTCGAAGATGTGGTCGTTGGGTATATGGTTTGGGAGTCAGGGAGTTGATGGTCTTGAAGTAGTGATGTGTGTTGTTGTCAGCCCAGTACATTGTTGCAGTGTCAATGATGGTCTGAATACGGGTCGTCGGTGTTGCAATGCTTGTTTACGAGTCTGTTTCCTCCACTGTGTCTGTTCCTCCATTGTGTCTGTTGCAGAACCCATTTCCAGCCTTGGAATGAGTCAAGGAGCTCCCATCGATCCATAGGCCTCCATTGTGGTGCAGGAGGATGAGATGGCATCCTGAGCGTGGCGGTGTGGAAGTTCCGGCAGGCCTCCAGCAAGGTAGTATTCAAGGTTTGGAGATCCGGTCGATTGGGGTGAGCCAAGTCCTTCTTGTAGTTCGTCCACCAAGGCTTCCCAAGCCGGAGTATCCCGTTCCCAGTGGTATTGGAGGGTCGTTCTCTGCATGCGACTCAGCCCAGAGGTTTGGAGTGTTTGTAAAGCCTCTTCGAAGGAATGCCGCACAGCAATGATGTCCCATCATCTGTGGGAGGTCCTGCAGATAGTTGACGTGTTTGGCGGCTATGTCCCCATCCCTCTGTTGGATCATGATGAAGTGGATCCGGGAGGAAGCGTGTCGCGGACCTCGGTATGTGGCCGGAAGGTCATGAGTCCAGGTGTTGAGTGCCACCATGGAAAAGTCCTTCAGGAGCTGTTGAGGCGTGTTTGCGTCTTTGTGGTTGGTGCCCTTGGATCGTCCCATGGGTGTGGCAAAGTCACTGAGCCCAACACTGTGCGCCTGATGCTTCAGACTTGTATTGAAGCCTCCCCCCAGAATCCAGCAGTTTCGTCGTGGAAGAGCTTTGAGGGTGTTCTCCAAAACTGGATCTTTGGGGGCCGCTATCAGGGTCAGCCGTGTTGTATGGGAATTGGTACAGGTTCAGGATGTCAAGGCTGTAGGTGTGCATGTAGAGTCTGACATGTTGAACCCTGCTGTCCATGGGTGTGGTCCAAGCAATGTGGTTTGCCGAGCAGAACCCAATGGTCAACAGACCGCCTCGGTGATTGTGGGCAGGAGAGTGGATGTATGAGAAGTGTTGATCTTGCGATTCTCCGGTGAACTGCCATCCAGTATCCTGGAGACAGGCACAGTCAATGGATTGGCGATGAAGCCAAGCCGAAACAAATCCCACTTGGTCAAGCTCAGTTGACCTATGTTCCAGGAGAAAAAAGACGGTCGGTTCTGTCGAAATTTCCCTGAAGGTCGACGGTTCGTGCTTGGATGGGATCCAGGTAGGTGAATGCTTGGTGAAGTGGGAATATTCACCGGCTCACTCGAACTCCAGGGTTGTGCTTTCACGCCAAGTTGGGTGGGTGTCATGTATTGGCCTCTATACCAAGTCATACCATGCAGCGTGGCACGTTTCAAGGCTCTGATGTAGGCTAATTTTGCGCCTTGTTGATTTCGGTTCTCTTGAAGTGCCTGAGTATTGGGAGGGTCAATGCCATCATGCTTCGTCCATGGTGACGAGCTAGTAGGAGCTGAGTCATGCAGGACTCCCCCAACTCCGATGGCTGAGTTGGAACCCTCGGGCTGCCAGCTTGGAGCATGTGGATTGAAGGCGAAGGTGGACATGAACAGGATGTACCAAATGAAGGGCCACCCTGACCAAATGCTCTCTGGGGACCCAGATGAGCGGTCATACAAAATCTAGGAGGGGTGCAAATTCTCGACCTTCAGAGGAGCTGTTGGTGTACTCGTCAGAGATTCCCACCCACCAGGCCAAGAAGCAAGTCTAGTGATCACGTCGATGACGTGACAAGGCAAGAGCTGCCAATGCACCTCCTCAGCCGTCCAGAGCGCTAGCAGCAGCGCTCAGCAGCAGGCCGTCCGGCAGAACGAACAAGTGGAACAGGAGCGGCAGTCCAGGTTCCGGATCATCGCCACATGGACGGCGCATACGAATTCGAACCACTCACAGCCCTTATCATCATCATGATCATCATCATCACCATCATCATCATCATCATCCCATGTAGTATCCATATTTACCTCATATGATGCTTGGCAATGTTAGAAGGAATCCTGGTTCTAAACACGTCCATAAAGTGAACTGACATGACAACTATTATTGTCTACTACTTGCCCAAAGTCAACTCCATGAAACAATAGCAAAGCACAACAAAACCAAGCATTGCAACACATTTAAAAATTGAAGTTGCCAATATCAGAGTTTACTCTTTTACTGATAATTACTCTTCTTTACTGAAAAGACATTTTTGGTTGCAGGTTTACTCCATTACTGTATGCGAATATGTTGTTTTATTTAATAAAGCCTTCATCTTTGCAAAGTCTTGTTGCTTATTATAGAAACACGTTTTTGGTGCCACGTGAGACCTTTTTGGGGCCACATTGTTTAGTGCAATATTACCCTGCTAAATGCCAACCCGATTTGTAAGCAGAAGCACATGCACACATGCTTCAAACCCTTTGCCTTCAAGGAAATCATTGCGACACTCCTATCTTTCAACAACGGTGTAGCTTCAACGAAACTCATTTCAAGAATGCCACCTGCTTGCCCCGCCTTTGGTTCTTTTTTTAACAGCCCCCGAAGAAGTGGGCGCCCCTGACTGCAAGGGGGTGCAGACCACCTTGAGCTCAGCGAAGAAGAATCAAGCCGAGAAAGCCAAACATGAAGAAGATGAAGACCTTGCAGGACTTTGAGGGTTGCGTTAGTTGGTCTTGCGACGGCGCTTTTGGGCTTTTGGGTCTTGTCTGTGGGTGTGTCCGAAGGTGGTCTCAGAGAGGAGCAACCACATCGGCGGCGAAGTGAGTTGTTGAATCTCGTGAAGCTCCGGTGACGTTGGGGATGCTGGGTGAACAGCTTCCTCAGCTAGAACTTTGCTTGAACTTTCTTGGTTTGCCGTGGTACTTCAACCCACACAACTGAATGGCAACGTAGAGAACTGGCTTGGTTTGCCGGTGGGGAGGTAGATCGTTCTGCAGAAACCGGCGATCGTTCTTTCGTCAGGTGACGCTCTGGTCGCCGAGGTGGGATGGGACGTGTGTCGTTTCGACCCGGGTGATCGGCCGGTCCCACAATTTGTTACTAGTAGCTACTTGCTCCTAGTAGTACGGCCAGGAGTCCCTAGTAGCGTTCTTGCTCCTAGTAGCAATGCCAGGAGCCCCTAGTAGCTTCTTGTTACTACAATTTCCCCTTCCAAGGTGTGGGTTCCGAAGGTTTTTCATCGTTCTTGTGAAAATCAGGAAGTCATGACCATACCTTGGAGGCGTTTGGTTTGCTAAAAGTGAACCCGCCACAGAATCGTACCCTCCGCAAACCCCGTAGAAGAAGGTAGAAGCAGGTAGCATTTGAAGCGGGCAAGTTCATGATGTAGGGATGGAGGGACATCAAGGCTTTGAGGTTTTTTACGCCAAGGGCATTGCTACTAGGAGCCAGGGCATTCCTACTAGAAGCAAGGACGCTACTAGTAACAAGGTGCATCGCTACTAGTAGCAAGGATGCTACTAGTAGCTAAGGGCATTACTACTAGTAGCAAGAAGCTATTAGTAGCAAGGACGCTCAGGGCATTACTACTAGTAGCAAGGACGCTACTAGTAACAAGGTGCGTCGCTACTAGTAGCAAGGACGCTACTAGTAGCTAAGGGCATTACTACTAATAGCTAAGGGCATTACGACTAGTAGCAAGGATGTTACTAGTAGCTAAGGGCATTACTACTAGTATCAAGGATGCTACTAGTAACAAGTGCTCTGATGGCCTCGCAGAACAGGAGACAACGGCCCCTGGCGTTCCCAGAAGGGCAATTAGGTCTCGGAAAGCGGATTCACACTGTTCATGGAAGAGGATGGGGTCTTTCTGGGTCTCAAAAAGCTGGTTGTACATGCCTCCTAGTAGTAAGGCCAGGAGCCCAGTTCGTAGCGTCCTTGCTCCTACTAGCGATGCCAGAAGTCGAATCGGCCGTGGACAGAAGGCGGGCCCCGCAGCGGAATTGGCACCACGCCACCCCACAACCTCGAGCGCCCGGGGACGGTCGCCCTCCCCACACGAGGAGCGACGATGGGAGACGGTGGGTCCTAGAGCGAGCTCGCTCGCCTTTTCTTTTTTGGGCATTACTGTTCTGGGTCTGCTGAGGATCTGCTGCACCATCTGCTCAGCAGGATTCTCAAGGGTGGAGGGTGATGTGACCTGATGGAGACCAGTCCGTAGAATTCCGTGTGTAGGGATGACACAAAAGGCAACGCATCCAAGTTATCCAAGTTTGCGTCAAGAAGACGTTCACCAGAACCATTCCTGCCAGGAGGGCAACCAGAACCAGCTTGAGTCTCAGGAAAGCCTGAGGAGTGTGGTTCCTGATGTGGAGGCGTGGCGAGGGGCGTTTTCTTTTTAAAGAAAGACGGGGGAGTCCAAGAATGATAGACGGCACCGTGGCTGATGACATGCCTTTGCGACGATGGGTGGGTGAAAACAGCAGAGCATGGCTTTGTTGCAGAGATAGCTCGTAGGTTGAGAGTTGCCAAAGTGTGGAGCAAGTCCATTCAAGTTCCTGTTGAACACCCTCCGGGTCATTAGCATGGAAGTGGAACATGGCCTGTGGATGCCTGTGGGAGGACTCCTGCTTGTCTTTGCCAACAGGAGGATTTCCATGTCAATGCCAGTGAGTAGGAGGTGTAAATTTGCCTTATGCTTCCGACCATCATCTCAGGCAATGGTATATATATATATAATATATAAATAACTGTTATGACTCCAAGATGGGCACAGCTCTGGTGGGCTTCGACCGGAGAGTCGGGGCGAAGTCCGGCGAAGTCGGGTACCGACGCCCCGTCGCGGCCGTCCGTTCTCCCGCCTTGGACATCGCTGGGAGCATCCTCTTCACCCGTTGTTGTGGGACGTCGCTAGGGGCCTCGGCAGCTGGACCACCTGTGAATGCGAGGGAAGAGGTGTGAGGACGACCTGGCGAGGCAGGGGGGTGCGTGCCGACGAAGGACTCGCTTCGGGAGGCCTTGGAAACGAGAGCTGGGAGCGATCCTTTTCCCTGTTTTTCTTTCATGTGAAACATGTGCGAAGTCCTAACTGCTGAACTTGCAGGCTGCGGAGAAGCTGCGCGGTCCGGAGTTTTGTGTTTGAAGGACATGCGAGGGCGTGTGACCTCAGCTCAGAAGCACTGAGGCTTAGTTGACATCCAGACGCGCCATAGGCGATAGTGGTCAGTGTATATAGTTAATTGGCGTACCCTCATTGAGAAGAGCACATCGATGTCGGTCAAATGATTTTCAACCCATGTTTCTCTTGCCTTCTATTTGTGCTCCTGCTGTCGCCACCAGAGAGCGGGGCAGAGACTTCTATGTGCTAGATGTTGTGAGGGTGGCAGAGCCCAATTCATTTTTCAGATGGGAGGTGGTTGCCGCAAAAACGCATCATCTCCTCTCGGAAGTTCAATGAGCATGCATAAGACTGGCGACGTCCACCTCCCTGGCCTTTTTTGAAGTGCTTTGGGCCAAGTGTCTGCTGCTGATGCTGTTGGGTTTTTGAAGTGTGTAGAAGTCCTGCAGAAGGGCCCCTCAGATTACGGCTTGGTCTGTAGTCCACTCTCGGAGAGGGAGACCAGGGGCAGGAGGGGGTGCCAAAACCGCTGGTGTTTTCCGAAAGCTTCTTTGACATCTCATTGCCCGGTCGTCCTTGGCTCACTGAAGGTCGTTCTTGTGAGGGGAAGCAGCAGCGTCGCAGCGGCCAGAAGATGGGAGCTCTAGACCTCCGAAAGCAAAACCCTTGCGAATGCAAGGGGCGTTTTATTTGAGGGTGTGGCATGGTGTGGCCCCAGACACGGCCGGGTGGTGTGACCAATGTGTGGCCCCAGACGTGGTGAAGGTTGGAAGAGCTTGGACTCTACACCTGGCCGATTCTGACTTTGCGACATCCAGAGCAGTCACACCCATAGTTCCAGACCCGTCTGACCAAAGGACCGCGTCTGATGACCAGCGTTGGGGTCCGGTCTCGCCTCGAGAGCTGAGACGGGCGGAGAGGCAATGCGGGGGGGGAACTCGACGATCCGTTTGGTGGCACAGGCCCTCTTCAAACTGCAATAAGTGCCTCAAAAACACATCAGTTGAAAGGTATTGAAAGGTGGAAGTGTTGGAAGGTCAGAGGGTCCTGAGATGTGGATGGGTAGATGGCCTGTAAAGGTTGGCTTTTGGATCCTACCTTGGCAGCGAGGTAATTTGTTGGTCAAAAACATGCCGAATAATGCTTGGCTGGATCCAGTTTTCTCAGCACACCACGCACCAGCCACATCAGGCACCGAGGCCATCAGGAGTGAGGATCCGTCTTGGGAACTCTTTACCGACGTGCAAAGCGGGCTTCGAAGCCCACATCTCAAAGCCGAAAGAAAGAGCACCAAATCTCTATATTTAGGCCGATCTCCGCTGCTCGCAACGAGCATGGCTCGCCGGATTCTCCATCGGCTCGCCGGGCGAATGAGCGAGTGCATGAAGGTGTGCCATGGATGCAGAAGTGCGGCCCGTGTGAACATGTGAAACATTCAACCTCCACCATTCTGCGAGGTGGGTTTTTGACAGAAGAAGAGCTGGCCCCTGAAGTTCCAAACCCTGGCAGTAAAAGCCCAACGAAAAAACGACGCAAAGGTGCCAAGATCGCCGCAGGGCCATCAGTCTTGGACCAATCAAGCAATTATAGGGGATCAAGATCAAGATGAAGTACCCCTAGGTCGTGGTGCCTTATATAACCACCCGCAGAGTATTCTGTATCATTTTTGATCATTTTGTGGGGTTCACCAAGAGGTTTGAAAGCTTCACTAGATCTGAGCTGTCCCAAGTGCTCATATATCTGCTTGCTACTCCCGTCCTTTTTCAATCTCGGTTGCAACACGAGAAACGGTCATTTTGCAAAGGAGGCAGTGAATGAGGCCAATGGCGAACGGTAACCTTAATGCGTAGTGCGGTTCTGATGGGTTCTGATGCATCACCCTGTCATTGTTGAGCCACATGACCATTGGGGAAGGGTTCACCTGAAAGGGCCCTCAGTTGGACAGCTCCATGCCCAACCGTCCAAGACCTGCTTTTCTACATGACGAACCGTGCGGCCGCCGGTTCCGCAAGGTTTGTGGAGCCGTGAGCATCGTGAGCTGCAGATTCCCAGCGGCCACTGCGGGTGCTCAGCACTTCCCAGCCGGATTGCTTCGGATATGCAGCCCGTGGCTCGGCTGCAGAGAAGTGTTTGTCGAAACTCGTCCTTCTTTTGTGGCACGCTGCCGGTAAATGTTGCACCAAGATGGAGCTGTTTGGAGTTCCGCCAGGTTTTGGGGTGATTCGCGTGCTCCCACGCCGCTACACCTCAACATGAGTGAGTGGGGCTGCCCAAGATTGCACTCAGTGAGTTCTTGTTGATTGTTGATCATTTCGATAATTGCTTCCCTATGGAAGTAGAATAAAGCACACACTGGGGAATGGGTCTTGAAGTTGGAGCGTTAGGATGATGACAAAGCCCAGAACCTCCTAAGCGTGCGTCCTTGAGCACCCGAAGAACGGAGCAAAGGCGGCGACACCATCGAGTAATGTATTAGCCCTTTACGGCGTGTCCGGAACCTCCTAAGTATATGGCCTTGAAAAATCAAACACTAAGTGAACTCCGCGACACCATCGAGCGATGCATTAGCCCTTTACCAAAGGTTAAAACTGGCAGGTGCGCCGAGTTGATCAGACTCGGTATCCCGTGATTGTGGTAGCTTCGTTGAGTGCGGTCCCACAATCACGCCGCACTCCCCTGCTTTCTACGATCGATACACAGCAAGTTCGAAGTCTTCCTCCACTTGTAACAGTTGACTAAGGTCAAGTTCAAAGTTCAAAGTCAGCTCGGGTCTCCAACCGCATGTAAGAGCGGGTTACACACACACACATATATATATATATTATATAGCCAACACCCTAGGTTGCTATGTGCTCAGAACCGTGGCAGGAAATACACCAGAAATACACCACTCTGTCTGAACTTGGGCCCCCAAAACCGCATTGTTATCACGTGTTCGCGCAGTCAGACAGGCGTTAGTGTTCCCGGATCCGTTTTCATTGTCCACATCCGTGCCATTGGAGGGGATACACTTTGGCCTCAGAAACACTTGATCAGGCAATGGCGAAGGGTGCCAGGGCACCACTCTTGAGCTTTTGGGTCTAGCGGCTAGCGGCGGCGGACAATCGCCAAGGCGAGCGGACTTGCTACCCAGGCGATGGTGATATAGTAATACATACAGTATGTACATATATAGATTTCATTTATATATGACTGTCTTAGGGTCTGGCAGGCTTGGGTGGACAGTTGTCATTCCATAGAGAGTTCAGAACCTGTTCCCATTTTGGCTCAAGTCTGATCCAAACTGGCAGGTTCTGTGTTTTCTCGTTCAGGAGTGACCTGGCAGAAGACTTCATGCCAGCCAGGGTCAGGGAGGGTATTGATGTTGCCTTGTTTACGGACTTGCAGGTACTTACCCCGGCAGCATGGCGGGACTTCGCAGCGCACATCGAGTCCATGTTGGCTGCTGGGAGGCGGGACTCCGCCCTGGTGCTGTGGGGAGTCCGTGGTTGAGATCTTTCATGTGGGGTTCACCGGCTGGAGAGGTACTCCAATCAACCACCATGCCTCCTATTCGACGCATCCCATGTGCAGAGGTCCCCTGTACCCGGTGCGAGCGACGCCTGGGGGGGTTCCGGTTTCCATGGGTTGGTACGTGGACGCGCCGTGCCGTTGTGGTCCAAGCCGGCGTTGCAGCATGGGATGCCTACCATGCCAATCCAGCTACGTTCGACCTTTTGGGGCTGCAGATGGTTCGCAGCCCGCTGGACCGAGAAGCGATCTCGCCAGCGCATTTGGACCGGCTCTTCACCCGTTTGGCCTATGACAGGGATGGGATTCCCTGGAGCCATGTGGTGGCCATCTTCTGGATTTGGCAGGCGGGACGAGGTGCCTGGCGGGAGCCGACCCGCGTGGGATGTCCTCAGGCTGGGCAAGCCGAGCTCATCCAAGCCGGAGCGCTTCTTCGGCACCTTCTCGCAGCGACCGAACGGCCCTTCATCCCTCCCTACTGCCTCACGTGTTGTTGTCCCACTCGGTCCGTCTGTCCGTCCTGCGATCGATCGGTGTGTGAGGAATGCCGAGTCTGGACCTTCCAATGTCCGCTTTGCTTGGGCAGCTCTAGCTCGGAGTAGCGCTGCAATCTTAGCTGGTGCCATGGCGTTCGATGGGCGCTATGCGGCGGAGGCGGCTGGGGCCATGCCGGGGTGGGACCCCGAGCGGGCCAATGCACGCGTGGAGGAACAGCGCGCCCGGCAGCTGCGGGACCACTTCGGCCTGCAGCACGACGAGGACTTGGCCTACGCGTTTGAATCCTTTGAGGATGCAGTGCGTGCTGGAGGCCAAGCTTTGGCTGTGCAGTGGCTCGAAGCTCGAGCGTCAGCCGAGCAGTCTCTGTTGCATATACTGTGGAAGCCGGGCAAGGTTCATCTTCTGACCGTCGTCCTCCGTTGAGCAGGCAGCCGGCTTTGCACCGTACCAAGGGAGTGACCCTGACGGGTGGTGCCTTCGAGCCTGGGAACGTGGTTCGCCGTGCGGAAGCCCTCAAAGACACTTTCGTGGAGCTGGGGGTCATGCGGCCGCATGCAGTGATGAATGAACGGACGCAGAAGGAGTGGGAGCGCGCCCTGATGCGCTTGGCTGAGGAGAAGACCACCCACTCCGAGCCTAGCACCATACTGAATGCGGTCAAGACTTGGGTGGAACTTCGCACGTTCATGCGCTCTCGTGATCGGACTGAGGTTGAGGCAGTCGACTTGGCTGCTTTCATTCAGGACGGGACACCTGGCCCATCCAGAGCATTGAACGCATTGCGATGGTTGAGCAAGGCCGGATCTCTGCAGTTCAACTTGAGCAACATCGTGCTCCCTACACCCAAGTCCAACAGGCAGCGCAAGAAGCAACAGGCCATTGTAGTTGAGCCCCCTATGCTGCCTTTCCTTGAACAGGCCATTGCGCAGTGCTGGGAGCAGTCGAACCCGAAGTGGTCAGCCCTGTTGTCGTCCTGGCTCATAGCCGTCGGAGTGATGAGGCGCCAGCACTTGCTGAGGTCGGAACCAGTGCGGCTGTCGAGGAGCACATTGCACCTCTGGTGCGACAAAGGCAAGCAGTCCTCTAAGCGGGGAGGCTTTCCATGGACTGTCCCGGCACACTTCGCCAACGGCTTTGGTCGGCTGCAGCCATGTTGCAGGCCAAGCGGGCGGTACCCGCTGGCAAGCGGGAGGCTTGCGGCATCATCTTCAGCCCTGATGGCTCCAAATGGGCGCTTCCTGAATGTCAACGATGTTGCCAAGAACTGTTTGAAGGACGCGTGCAGGACGCCAAGGATTTGACATCGTACTCGTGGCGCAGGATGGGGCCGACCATCGGCCAGATCGGAGGGCTAGGTCCACTCGAGCTCAATGCACTGGGGGACTGGGAGGACCGCTCGTCGCTCCCTGATCCGGCATCGATGCCAGTGCATTACAGCGGAGGGAAGAAGGCCACTTCGATGAGAGTCAAGCATTTGGTGTACCAGCTTGGAGCGTCACTCCGAGAGCACCAATCATGGGACGTCATCACCCCGTCGGAGTTGGAGGAAGCCAAGGCCTTCGTGATGCCTACAGTTGATCGCTTGGTGTCACAGGACATGGACACGGAATGGCAGGGCAAGCTTCCAGCTGCACAAGTCCAGCGCGCCTTCAAGTTCAGCCAGGCGACCCGGGAGTCCGCGAGGGCCGCTCGCGCTTCAGCAGCAGCAGCAGGTGCCCAGATGCCCGCTGCAATCAATGGCAAGCTGCTGACAAAGTTCATGCGCAATGGGACCCCATTGTGCGCCGGCTTTCAGACGGATACCTGCTCCCGTACTCCATGCCCGGAACAGCATTTGTGCGCCATTGTGCTGCAATCAGGCCGTGCGTGCGGTGGATCCCACAGTGCGCAGACCTGCTACGCCCGCCGTGCCTTGAGAGAGGAGCGAGCCGCGGCAAAGGGACTCCTCCCCTTGGCACAGGAGCCGGCTACTCCCACTCGTGCACCAGCCGAGCCAGCTGAGGAACCACAAGAGGAGCCCGACTATGATCCTCCATCCGAGACCGAGTCCGAGGACCTCACGGTTGGTGCACCAGCAGAGGCCAAGGCGGCGCCGAAGCCTCCTTCACCACCGGCCGGCGAGATCATCAAGGGCATCCCACCAGCCGCAGCCAAAGGGCGGAAGCGATCCGCCGAGCAAGTGGCTCCTGCGGCACCGGCTAAGAAAGCCAAAGAGAGCGCTCCAGTCGCCGAGCCTGCCACCCCAGCAGCCACCATCAGCCACCGAAGAAGCCAGGTTCGAGATGCCAACACTTCCAGCCAGCTTCACGGCAGCCACCGAAGACCAACAGTGGGATCGTCTCGCGACAGTGCGAGGCAAGTCAGCCCAGGCACCTACGCTGCTGCTGTCAATTGTGGAGGGGGTAAGTTGTGGTTGGGCGGCATCCCGGCCAGGGCCTCGGCGCCGCACTTCCCACGAGTCACTTTGCAAGTGGCTTGTTTTCCAGAGCGCCCGGAGAGCCGCGGTGGCATCGTCCTCCGGATGCGTTGCTGCGACGTGCCGGAGCCATTTGGCGGGACCTGTGGCCTCTCATCCGGCAATCGCTGTGGTGCGGTGAGAGTGTGTTGCTGCACTGCATTTCAGGCCGCCATCGCGCCGCAGGGGGAGGGACCCTCTGCCGCGCCGTCACGTTGTCTGAGACATGGGAGGAGAGCGCAAGATGGCTGAAGACGCAGCGTGATACGGACCTACCAGGGCTGATGCGGGACCAAAAGGTCGCCCGATTCCTGCGGGAAGCCAGCACCAGTACGGCTCTGGGGACCCCCTGGCCACGTCCGCCTACATGGCGACCGAGCGGAGTTCCCTGCACCTGCAGCCTGCAGGGATTCACGAACGTGCCTCTCTGTTTCCACGAAGCGGCTCACTGATCCAACCACTGACATCTTGGAAGCCATAGCGTGGGGTAGACCTTGGTGCCCTACTTGCCTGCAGCGTGCACCGGCATCTTGGCACCCGCGGTGAACCGCAGCGGCTACCATGC